TGTGATTGAGCATTCCAGTTTCAGAATCTTTACACTGAATAACTGGCCCTTATTGACTGTTTTTGAGGGTGAGGGAGCATGGTACAGTAATATTCAGCTACAGGCTAGCTTTAAGTTGTTTACCTTTTTTGTTCTAACATGCAAAGGCCAACCATAAAACTGAAGTGATAAAGTTCAAGATACTGTTCACTCCCTGTTTAAAAAGGCAACAATTTGTATTTATACTTGAACTAGTGTTTAGGGAAATCCTGACTTTTTTTCTTGTTCTTAAGCTTACTTGTTAAAATTTCATTTCAATTCTTTTTAACCTTTGTGTGTGTCTGCTTGCTGCAGGAGCTATTCAAAGTAATCAGAGAATCTGCTGATTTGAGTCAGGATTGCTGTCCTGGTACTGCCAGGACTGTTTCTTTTTCCCCAGCCTCATTCCTGCTATCAGTTTTGTATGACCTTGCAGTGAACTGGTTAAGGAAATCTATTCAGCCAAATGCTATCTTTTTTAACTTGGCTGGATCACCCCTGTGATCTGAGAGTAAGCAAAAGGTATGTCATTGCCAAACACCTTCAAGAATAAGCCCACAGGAAAAACTGAAGTACAGATAAAATGAAGCAGTGGGTATAGCACGTGATGGTAGCTTTTGATTATACCCCTTGATCATCAGAGTGATCTGTAATACTGTCTTACTAGCTCTGATCTGACTAGAATTTGGCACCAATGCAATGAAAGGATAACATTAATGCAGGTAACTGTCATGGTAGTGTAGCTTAGATATTGAATAAATTGTTTGCAAATTACTGAAGTGCACAATTGCTTTTTGGTGTTCTTCTAGTTCGAATGACATTATTGTGCTGCATAGAAAAACTCAAATTACTATCAGAATACAAAATTTATTCACAAGTACTGTATCTTCGAGTTCATGAGCTTGTGGTTTTCTAAACAAAACTAAGACAATCAGCTCAGGTTCTTTAAAACAGAAGTGAGCAGCCAGCTTCCAGCAACAGCGTGTGGGTTAGATGGTATAACCTTGGCCTTATTGTGAAATCATTTAATCTGCCCTTTCCCTATCTCAGAACTATTTTATTACATGTTTAAAAAGATATCCATGAGCTTGTATTATGTGCTTTGAAGTGAGCCAAATACTCTCCTACAGCGTGACAATTCTTAGCTCAGCAAAGCAAGCTGTATTTCTAGTACATATATGTTTGGCCTCCAAGGGCTATCTTTTGGGAAAACTTGCAGAAAAATGCTACAGAACACTTCAGAGCATGGAAGACTTTGCTGCAAAAGCATTGCTCTGTAAAATGTTGTTAAAATGCTTATTCATGAGCTATGCTAATTCTGATTTAAGTTGTAAAGTATGTTGGTAAAACAAACTAAAATAATTTTTCAAGTGCCTTAAAATTGCTTAATCTTTATGCCTCAAATTTTATTTAAAAGGGTAGAATGAATACCTTGCCTTAGTTACTAAAGTTTTCTTGGTGCCAGCAATTGCTACTTTCCAATACTTTAGGAAACCCAGGGTTTTTGATGTGTACAGATGCCAGTCTCAAAAACTCAAGCTTGTACTGCATCAATTCAGTTGCGTACTGGAAGGCCTGCACTGCACGTTGGTTGCTCATTAGCCTTGCCAACAAGATGTAATCCACAGTTGATAGAGTTGTGGCTTCAGCTTTTCTCGTTCAGTTGTCTGGGGGAGGGAAGGCTGGATTATACATCGTCACCGTGTGCTTGGCTGTCTCACTATAGAAATGAATTGCTCCTCTGTGAAACTGCAGTATCAGCTAATCTGTGCTGTGTACTAGCAAATAACCTGAAATAATAACTTGCAGTTTTTTCTCAGCCTTGTGTTTTGAAGTGGAAGGTAGCTCATAGATCTGTAGTTGCATTTGCCCCTGAATCGGTTTTAGGCACTGAACTGTAGTGACTCTTCAAGTTACCTGGCTTTTTCTTGAAGCCAGTTGTGCAAATAGCAAGCTGTTATCTTATGAATGTTCTTTGCAAGTGTTGCTGTAAAAGTTTGTTCTGTCTTCAGTGGAAGAAAACTGAAACAGTTGTAATCACAAAACCAAATTGATAAATAAAATCTGTTGAATGGAATTTTACTTGTAAACTTTCTTTCATGTGAGCATGACTGTCTGCCAAGTTTCTGGAGATAAGAGCTGTTTTCTGTGGCAGTTGAACACCGAGGAAAGCAGGGGAGTGAAAAGTTTGACAAGTTAATCTAACTCTCTGAAATAGTTTTAAGTTAGCACTTGGTGTGTACAAAATATAAATTCGTATTTAGGATGGTCTTCACAATATATTTTCATTTTAGGTCATGTTTTCTATGTTAGGTGAACCATTTCCTTGCCTTAAAGCCAAAGCACAGCCTTGTGATTATTACTTGTTCCATTTGTGGCAACCTGCAAGTCTGATGCCTAATGCTCCACTTTCCCATAGCTATAATACTTGTTGGCCTGTAAGGTCAAGAAGGGCTGTGTTGTGTGGCACCAGGCAAGCTGTTAATAATGATCCTCTACATCGTAGCATTCATTTGTGTTAAGATGCCTAGTTTTCATAAAACAAAAGGCATTGCTCTGGACTTTCTCAATTACATACACAAAGACAAGTGTTTGCCAGGAAATAATTGTCAGAGTATGCTTGAAAAAGAGAACTGAGAGCATGCAATTATGTAGTAACACTGACTAAAACTGAACAGCTCTGAGTGAACTAACCTCGGTAGTTTCACACCATGATTTTGATGGTTTTGAGAGTTGTGAATGTGTCACAAGGGTTGTACTGGCATAACTCAGTCTGTTGTGAGAAGTCTTCAAAAACTGATGTACTTGTGCTTCTGGAAAAGCTGTGTGGAAATGGAGTAAAGCTGGAGTTCCCCAATGGGTTTAAAATTCTGCCTTCAAGAGAATCATCCATTACATCGTGCAGTCGGGGACTGTGTTACTTTTTTGTTACAGTGCAGCAGTGAAAGCTTATGTGGGATTATTTTTCCATATAGCACCTGCCTTACTGCTTTTCTTGGAGGGAGCTTTTCTCTAGACAGAGCATTCATTGAAAATGCATCTTTGAAACACCTTTAAATGTTGCTCTATTGAGTTCCAAAAGAAGTATTTTCTCAAGATACTAAAATTGTCCTGGGACATCTCTTTCCTTTTTACCACTACAGCGGTATGTAAGTGCTTACTGGGCATAGTGTTCTACTTCCAAATTGGCTTCTGGTTCTTGGGATGGGCTACAATCGCACTTGATAGCTTCTTTAGCAATGTTTGACTGTAGATAATTCTCAGTCCCCTTTTTATTTTAAGGCTTTAGAAAGCACATGTATTATTTGTAACTGCTTCCACAGTCTTCTGATTGCTCTGTGACTAGTTCTAATGCAGCACTGTAGTGGCATGCTTGAATGAAATAAGAAGGCTCTCTTCAGTGTTGGTGAAGAATGTCTGCCTTATTCTAGGAATACTCTCTATATACTGCAAGGTTTCTAACAAAAGTTAGATTTTTTTTTTTTTTTTTATTAGTGTTTAAACCAATGCAATGCTGTTAAGGGTTGCCAGAATTCTCATTCTAGGTCTTGGTTATTTAGAAATTAGTAATAAGATGTCCAGTTACTCATATCCACAAGCATCCAGCTTCTAGATTCTGAAAAGCACATAGGTTTGAATAGTAGCTTATCATCAAAAGTTGCAGTACAGTTTGACACATCTATGAAAAACAAACAGCTCTGACTCTTTTATTGGCTAGTTTATAAAAGCAAGCATTTTTGACATGCAAGAGAATTGCAGATAATGATGTATTATCTACGCAGTTTTCTCTTTTTTAATTCTAGTAGTATAGCACTGTGCAAGGAGCTGTTCTTCCCCTTTCTAGGGGGAAGAGGGAGAAGATTCTAGGAAGGTAGAGATGCTGACATTTCTGATGATTCATTTTTAAACATTAAAGATTCACTCTAAGGCAGCAACCTCTGGGAGTAAAAGCAGTCAGCAGACAGGATGTGGTGTTTTAAGGGTTGCAATAGGCAAGCAGTTTAAAAAATAATAATATAAAACGCCTAACATCAACAGTTTTGCTCTCAGAACTTAGCTATGCTTTGCACTGCCATGTTCCAAGGCTACTGCAATAAAAGGAAGCATTTTAGTTTTGACTGATATCTTCACTGAGCTACACTGTCTGAGAAGATAGAACAGGTAATACTGCTCTTGCTTGGAAGGATGACCACTCAATACCTGAAGCACATCAGTGGATTAACTGACCACAGCTGGTACTGATGCTGCATCTAAATATATGGCATTGAATCAGCAAGTTTGCAGATGACACCAAGCTGAGCAGTGCAGTCAATTCATTGGAAGGAGGGGAAGCCATCCAGAAGGACCTGGACAGGCTGAAGAAGTGGGCCCATGAAAACCTAATGAGATTCAATAAGCACTTGGGTTGGGGCAATCCCAAGTATTTATACAAACTGGGGGAAGATCTCCTTGAGAGCAGCCCTGGAGAAAAGGACTTGGGGGTCCTGGTGCATGAGAAGCTGGACATGAACCAGCAGTGTGTGCTTGCAGCCCAGAAGGCCAACTGTGTTCTGGGCTGTATTAAAAAATGGGTGGCCAGCAGGGAGAGGGAGGTAATTGTCCCCCTCTACTCAGCTCTTGTGAGGCCCCATCTGGAGTACTGCATCTGGGCCTGGGGACCCCAGTACAGGAAGGACGTGGAGCTCTTGGAGAAGGTCCAGAGGAGGGCCATTAAGATGATCGGAGGGCTGGAGCAGCTCTCCTATGAAGAAATGTTGAGGGAACTGAGCTTGTTTAGCTTGGAGAAGAGAAGGCTCCAGGGAGACCTCATTGTGGCCATCCAGTACTTGAATGGAGCATATAAACAGGAGGGGGAATGGCCTGTTTATGATGGTGGATACTGATAGGACAAGGGGGAATGGTTTTAAACTGAAACAGGAGCTTTAGGTTAGATATTAGGAAGTTTTTCACACAGAGGGTGGTGACCTAAGGAGGCTGTGGATGCCCCATCCCTGAAGGCATTCAAGGCCAGGCTGGATGTGGCTCTAGGCAACCTGGTCTGGTGGTTGGCCATTCTATGGTATTGAAGTATACGTGCACAGCACTGGGGAGCTGCTGCCTCCCTTTGATTTGTGTATAAATTGTACTTCTCTTTAACACTGCCAACTCAGCAGTAATTTCTAAAATGCCCTGGGCTGACTGAAAATACAACTAGGTTTACTTCCAGACCAGCCTGTGTTCCTGTAGCTGTGCGAAGACAGTAGGAAGAGATTTTTCATTGAGGTGTGGCAACAGCCTATCTGCCATACTCTGCTTCCATCTGCTAGGTACCTGAAAACATAAGCAACACAGAAGAGTCACCAACCACGGCATGGTACCCCAGGCTGGGGGGGAGTTTCCTGGACTGCTAAATGCTGCCACCCCCCAAGTCCCTCCATTTTTCAACAGTATGAAAAATCAAGTGGAAATGTTTTCCTTTTTCACTAGTCATACACAGTGGTCACCTTGTCTTTGAAGACAATTCTGGGAAGGGATGGGTGAAACCTGCCTGGGTATACATGCAAGCCACAGCTTGCAAAGTAGCAAATGAGTTACTTGTTTTGTAACCCTATCAGACTGTTAACCACCAACATCAGTGATGCTTACTGTCTTCGGTCTTTGAGTGCTTCTTCTTTTAACGGTGCTGTTTCTTGGATCAGGATTCAAAGGCTCCTGCTTATAATCCTCAAGCTGAGTGAATGCTGCAGTCTTGTTATTCCGGACCTGAGCTGCAGAACCTGGAGTGTTATTGATGATACAGTTAAAGTGGAATTTGAATTAAATAAATTCCAAGGCTGTTGTTTCTGATGTCTAGCAAAATGAAAAACACTCAGGCTAGTACTAACAGTAGCACACTTCTTAGTCTGGAAAAAGTGGTTTGTATATGATATTCACACAAGGCAGAACAAAAATTATTTGCAGTGTTTTTGTGTATCAGCTCACCCGAAGCCCTTCTCTTTCATAGTAATGAGAGTATGAACACTTATACCCCCAGTAGGCGATGGGTTAATGAAGCAGGAAATTCTTGCTGCCTCATCATGTGCATCTACTCTCCTTGCAACTCTGGCTTTTGTGGTACTGTTCAAAGTTAGGATGAAAAGATGCAGGAGTGGAGTAGTTTATAATATATTCCCTGGCAAATTCTAAATTTCTAAAATTCTTTCAGGCTTCTCAAAAGCAGAGGTGCAGCCACTTAATGCTTCAGACACTATAAAAAGAACCCTGAATCAAATGCTGTGGTTGTCATTATGCCTAATATCAACTAACAGCCTGGTACCTGAGTACAGCTTGAGGTAGTTCCTAGAGGTAATTTGCCCCATTAAAACAAAACAAAACAAAAACAAAAAACCTTTGCCTTTTCAATCAAAAAGAGCTATCGCAAATTCTGTAGGACTGAGGACAGATTAATAGCAAAGGAATAGAACTGTATTACTCAGATAAATACAAAAGACAGATTTTTACATAGAAACCACATACATATATGTGTGCATTAATTAGTGATACCTCCCTGTGCTTTATTTCTGCAGAATTGGTTCATATAGTGTCTTAGCAGTGTGATAAGGAGCATTTCTCAGTTTTCTCAGGCAGGAATAACTAACATCTTCCCTTCCTGTAACTGAATTTGTGGTACTTTATTCTTCACGGCATAGCAATTCACCTTGAAAGCTTGTTGTTGTTTTTCTTATTTATTTATTTGGTGGGGAATTTAGGGATTGCCCATCTGCATGAATTAGTCAAACTGAAGGGCCAGCAGGATTTTGCTACCATGGAGAAAAGCAGCCAGTTCAGGCAGGTAGAAATAAAAATCCTTAATCACTGTTCTAAGGCACTTGAATTATGTCAGCACTGTAAAAAACAAAAACAAAGAAGAAAAGAAACAGCAGAGAAGAACAATTTCTGGGAAAGCTTTAAGTTCCAAATTAAGACAGTTAAGATCAGAAAAATTCTCACTGCTGTTTTGAGCTCCTCTAAAGACACTTAGAATCATAGTCATGCATCTCCTTGAATTACCAGTTTGGCTGCCCCTCACGATGTGTAAGCAAGCTGTTAGAAGACCAGAGCCACTAATGAAGCCAATTTCCTACCACTTGAGATGCTTGGTTTTCTAACTGTCTCCTCCCTTGAATGTAGCCCCACTCAGATTTCCCATGATATTCTTACAGTGCAAAAGATGACGTGAGCTGTGGTTGAAAGCTATTAATGTGGGACTCAGTGTTTCTTGTGCTGCTTGAGCAGCTGCAGTGAAAAAAGGCATGTGGCTTTTGAGTTCCGGCTTTTCCTCAAGATTAGTTTAGGCCTTTCTCTTCCACCTATACACTTTCGATATGGAGTAGGGCATCTCTTTCAGAACTTGGCTGAAGTTGCCAATTGGTTCAAAGGTTAAGGAGGGATCCAGGAAGGTGGCACATAGCCCATAAGACTTACTGCCCTGAGAAAGCAGGTTGCAACATACAATCTATCTTTACCTGCAGTCACGTTCCTCTGGGAAACTGCAGCTTCCAGGTCATAAACTTGACATGGCAGTTCATCAATGTTCTGGAAGGCCTCCATGTTTAAGCTGAACTCTTGGGTTAACTGGCTTCTTACCTGAAAGGTGGTAAAAGGATTAATGGCAGCAACAAAAATTCATCATCTAACAACTCTAGCTCACAGCAGGGGCCTAGATTTAAAGGAAGGGATGTTGATGCCCTGTGAGCTCTTGTGAATGGGAGGCCATTGCTTCCATAATTACAGTTTTGCTAAACATATCTGTGAATCCCCTGAAAACATAATACAACAGAAACAGGGCAAATTGCCACTTTGGTTATTGTCTAATAGGAAGGCATCGCGGGAGGAAAGCAAAAACAATACAGAGAACTTCTCTTACTGTTCTCTGTGTATAGCCCTCCCTCCAATTCCAGGGCAGACTTGTGTGAAAAAAAGCAAGTGCCTTTTGCTCATCTCTCTTGAAGACTGCATAGTTTGATAACCAAATTTAAATATAGAGCTTGTTGGTGTCAATGATCGTGTAGGTGCTGGCTGAGGCTGCTGTGTGGTAATAAAACCCTCCCTGCTGCATTGCTGTTGTCCTTTATGCTCTCCTTGAAGCTAATCCAGCTGTTGACATCTCTATTTTCTTCATGGGTTATTTTGTAAGCACAGGAAAACAGTTCAGAGCCCCATCATGGACTGAAAACAAATCTGTAGCCTCATGTCCACAGCCACTACTTTGGCAGAAGTCTTACTGCATATGATTTTGCTCAGAGAATGTGCCAGCAGCATGAGGAATTATTCCCAGCAGAACAGCGTCTGTCATTCTGACTCTTTCTGCAGAATGAACAGTCAATGCTTTCACCTTGATTCCTCAGGAGACTGAAGACAGAATGCATTTGCTTGGCTTGCAGGAGAGGCATTCAGGTACATTACTAAGTTTTTTCTCTCTAGATCAAGAACACGAGGGCTAGCAGTCTTTAGTGGCTGCAGAGTTGTCAATTAGGAGATTGATTCCACTAATTAAAGTCTAATCAAGTGGTTACCAAACTTTTGTTTTGCAGACTACACTACAAAAGAAACACTGCATTTTTCACAGCAAAAGAATCCACTCTACCAGTTGTGCTATCTCTACAGTTCTTTTTACAGGGGGATACTCTTAAAGTGGACCTTGTTACTCAGTTATTCTAAATTCAGGATTAGCAATGCAGTAACCAACTTATCAGTAACCAATATATCAGTTTGGTACCATGGCATGAGTTTAGTTAAGACTCGTGCCATTTCTGTGGCCAGACTGAGTTAAAGCTGTCCCCTTCCCCATATGTTCACTTGGTAGTTCAGAATTTGGGAAACATCGGTGTAATGGATGCGAAACGAAGAGGTAAGGGCAGAGAGGGGAAGTCCCCACCAAGATTGCCAGGCTGGCTGGAGACACAGAGCCTTGCCTCTTTGGGCAAACCGTGCTCCTCTAAGGGAGTCAACCCAGCTGTTGAGGGCTGTGCACACATTCCCATTGCACCAGAACCTTACATAAACTCCCAAGTAGTTTATTTCTAAAATAATGGGAATAATAACCACTTTCTAGGGCAAAGATACTGAGCCAAACTCAACAGCAAGGCCCCGAGAAGTACCAGAAGCACAAGATGGCACCCAAGGGTGGAGCATGATGCCAAGCATGGAGCACCCAGCCCAGTGCAAAGGCTGCTAACTACTACTGTAACTATTAACTCCTACCTAACTACTGTAGAATTCAGGTCCAGAGCAGTGGGAGGGCTGCTCTGAAGTGCTGTGAAAGTCACACACTTGACAGGATATGCTTAGATGTGCCCAGACAGTGTTGGAACTGGAGACGTTGCTCCAGTAAGGTTAGTTTCTGTTCTTCGAATGTGTATTTATAATTTACCTGCTGCCTAGCTGTTTTGGCCCTTTTTTGTTGAAGTAGTCCTGTTTTAGAAGGCTTTTCAGCTTCCTTCACCAGGCATTTCAGTTTCTGCTCTTTCTCTTCCATCTCTTCAAGCACTTTCTCCATGTTTTGAGCTTTCACCACGCTGAGAATTTGTCTTTTCCTGGCTTCTTGTGTCTTCTGATGTTCCAACAGCATTTGTTTCTACAACATGAGATCATGAACACTTCAGACTTGGATTGCTTCCCCCAGTTTTCACACATAGCTTTTAGATTTCTTAATGGTGTGACCAGTTCTCAAATGTCATCCCTCGCTGAGCTGAATAAGGAGAGACCCCGTCCCACATGGCTTGGTGTTACAGAGGATGAAATGTTTACAAATCTGAATTATTGTCAGATCTTACCAGAAGAGTAGAATCAGACCTAAATCCAAAAGAAAATCTGTTTTTCAGGAACAGAGAGTGCAAGAGAAGGGTAAGTGGGAGACGGAATAGTGTGATTACAGCTTGTGAGATCATTGTGATCATTGCTTGTTAGAGAGAAAAGCCTCAAAACAATGTTCATGTTTTGAACTTGTTCAATTGCAAATAAACAAGAAGGCAGTTGGTTCCAATTTCCTCAGTTTGCTGCAATTTACTTTCTGAAAGCAGCCTCTGGTCTGCATGTGAGACTTGTCTTCAAAAGCAAAGCATAAACAAGGGAAGGGAGGGAGGTGAAATGAGCACATCTTTTTCGAACATTGCTGTTTTTATACTGCATGCAGAGAAAACCAGCAACTGTGGCTGTGTTTCAGGATGTTTCACAACAGAATGCAATGGTATGACAAATCCCAGCTATTAATTCAAGCCTTGCATACAGCCAAGGGCTGTGGAATGAGGTCTGTTATTCGTAAACACTTTCATTGCTATCTATACCAAGGGAAGAAAATCAGGAAGAAGAGAAAGAAGCAGAAGCTGGAATAGAAGTAAAACTGAAACTGAAACCACAAAAACTGCTGTTAAAAAGGCAGTAAATGCAGTGGATCCTTCAGAAGTTGACAGCTTGTCAATTCAGAAAACCAATTTACCATTCAAATGCAACCCCATGCCAGTGAAAGACCTGAATGCAAAGTCAGAGCTTAAAGCATTCAGACCCCAAACGTTTTTCACTGGAGATCTCTAAGCTGAACTAAGTCTGAAGGTTCATAGACCAAAAAGTTCACAACTGAGCATCACATCTGACATTTTAGTAGTTCAGGTTGAAAAGACCTTAAAGATCATGGAGTCCAAGCACAGCCCAACCATCCTACCCCAACTCTGACAGCCCTCTGCTAAATCATGGCCCTGAGCACCACATCCAAATGGTTTGAAACACAGCCAGGGATGGGGACCCAACCAATCAGTGTAACTCAACCTCACACGCCCCAGCATTTACCTTAATTACCCTTCTACCAAAACGAGTGAGTTGGTTTGGCAAAACAGTCTTTTCCAGAAAGGCATCCAACCTTGACTTGAAAGTGTTCAGACATATTATCATTTCTCTGATTAATCATGTTTTTAAAACATCATTGCTCATTTCCAATTTTCAGTTTGTCTGACATCAACTTCTAGGCCTCTCATCTACACCTTTCCCTAAGCACCCTTTAGTCTCAGCTATTCTCTCCCTACAAAAGAGTCTATAGAATATAATCAAGTCATCCTTCTTTTAGACAGGCACAATATATAAATTCCTTTGCTAGACTGTTTGCAGTAGCCCTCCAAAATCATTTTTTATAATCCTCCTCCACACCTTCTCAATCTTTTCTCATCTTTTTATAGTGCACCCTGGAACCAGAGGCAGTATTGAAATGTGTTCTACATAGATACAAACCCATTTTTAATCTATCTATGCTATTCTGCTTTTTATAAATCAAAAGATTGCAGCATCCATCCTTTCCACTACCACACTACATGGTCATTCATTTGCCTGTTATGATCCCTGCCCTTTCCTGGGCTGCAGTCATCCTGCTCTGTAAAAATCTTGCTTTCCATCTCATTCTTCATCTAGTTACACACTACAATCCTTCTTGGAGAAATATTCAAATTACCAAGCTCTCTGTACGATTCTGTACACTTGCTTTGCCTACATCATTATTCACTAACTGTGAAGCAACAAATCCACTAACATTCCTCCTCAAATATGTCATTGGCAAACTTTATACACCATAATTTTGTATTTATTTCCACACCACTGACTAAAATCTCGAATACTGACAATTCTGCTACCAACACCACTAGAAATCCGTCAGAAACCATTTTCATTTAATAAAAATAATACATTTCTAGACGTCAAAAAACCTAGCTCTTAATCCATTTAGCATTTTTATAGGTACTACATAATATATTAAAATTTAAAATACAGAAGGTGTACACTGCTAACCCAACTGTTATAAGATTCTTCTAAATACACATTATATCTCTTGCATTATGCTTATATATCTAGCTTGTAATCTTATCAGGAGAATGAAGTGAGGTTGGTTTGACAAGGCTTATTTTCCGTAGTTGTCTTGCCTGGCATTAATCAGGTTGCACGTGAGGGGTGTGCTTTTCAGTTTGTCTGTGAGAAATGAACTGTTCCCCATGCTTGTGGTAGCAGTGATATATCCATGAAGCTATTCAGATGACAAAAAACATGAAATGATTTTTAATGACAGCATCACTGAATGTCTCCTTGAAATCCAATGATGGGGTGCAAGACTAAAAACCTTAAGATTTCTGACTTTTTTTTTTCTTCTTGTGGAATGAAATACTGAGCATCTTTTTCCTCTGCTAAAATATATATCCAGCATAATTGACAGCATATGTGCAAATAGAGCCTGCAGCTCTCATTTTGATGTAGGACTCAGGTTTTTTTAGAAATGCTACAGTTTTTCCTAGTTCTACATGCAGTGGTGAAAAGGCTCAAATGAACACACTATTTCTGTGCTATGAAATACATATCTAGCTTCAGTAATTGTACTACACATTTGATTTTGAATCCGTTTCTCTCCTAAAATAACAGTATGGAAAATCCTCATTAAAGCAAGCGAGGTGGAGAGGAGAATTCAGTTTGCTATGCTGATGAATCAGGACCCATTTAATTCAGATACCTGCTTATGCAGCTGCTCCTTTAGCTTGTCATTTTCTGCTTGAGATTTTTCAAGAGCTTTCCTCGCAGATGTGAGCTGACCCTGCAATGAAGTCACCTCTTGTTCTGCCATCATCTTTGCATTAAGACACTCTTTTTTGTTTTGAAGAGCTCCCTGCAGACAGAAAGTACATGATGGGAACAGTTATAGGAGCAGTGATTTTCTCTTCTACATTGTGGTAGATTTCTTAAAAAGTAATATCTAAGAGATTTTTAGTAAAGTAGTATTGTATTGTTCACATTTTCTTCTATCAAGGGCTGATTTTTAATAATAATCTTTCATACAGCACTACTGCATATCTTTACTTGGATTCACAACAATTCAAGCTCTTATGTGTAAAGAAGCTCAGAGCAAAATTTGATCTTCCTTACGCATTAGAAAGACCTGTCCACCAACTAATCTGTTTATTCCTTCATTGTCTGTAAAGGAAAAATGTGTGTAATGTAGTTTGTTTTCCTTCTAGGCAAGGTCTTTTTGTTTGTTTTAAACACAAACACAAATGTATATTTATATGCACACTGTTACATCAGCTACAGATTTAATGGCCTGCTCTCTCTGTTTTCCTGCCTGGCAAGAGCCAGGTTCAGCAGCTTCTGCACTTGAAGCAGAGTACAGGTTCTTAGATCTGCAGGATCACTGCAGAATCAGACACAAGAAAGCTCTGTCTCAGTGAGATGAGCTACTTTATCATTTTAAAAAGACAAACTTCCCCATTTATTTTTCTCAGTTTCAGACTTTTCTTTTAAATAGCTCTTATTTAAATCTACAAGTTTGCAATAATTCAATCCATATTTGACCGATCTACACTTAATATAAATTAATAAGTCATTCTAACAATTCAGCATCACTGTGATATAGCTGAACTGAACACATACACATCCAGCTTTATTTGACTTTAAAATTAACAAGCATAGAAAAGCCACTTTGCTTTCACTCATTATAAGTCAGCAAATATGATCCTCTCTGCCCTCCATTTATTTGACATGTGTGGCTAATTAACCTACAGGGCAATCAATAACTTGTTTGTTCCATTCTAATCAGCCTCATTTAAAGCAGCGAGGCACTCTTCTATCCGTCCACCTTCACTTTAGTTTAATTCAGTCATTTTTGTGCTTCATCTCGTATTTCTGTAATTAAATTTACAAAGCTTATGCTGTGCTCTGCTTTGTTTAAGCAGATACCAATTTCAAAAAGAAAAAGAAAAAAACCAACAAAAAACCTTCAGCACCTCAAAAGCATTTGGCCTCATTCATTTTCACTTCGTGTCTGCTTGTCTTCTTTTTTGACATGATTTCATCAGTTATGAAATAGCTTATTTTGATAAAGTGTCATAGTTACTCTTCTGAGTCAACAGCAGAATTAGGAATACTGTAGGTTGCTCGCCCTTCCTAGATTCTGTCATGAAGAAGGCATCAGTGATTTGTCTCACGATCTTCACAGCTAAAGACCACCCTTACATCCACAACTTACAGGGGGAAAAAGAAATCAGCATTTATACCTAAAATCTTCAGTTACCACCATAGCATATAAGCTCACTGAATAATAAGTCTGACCAATCTGACTATTAACATAGTAGACAATTCAACATGAAACAGAGATGCAACAATAGGAAGTATAACCTTCTCAGCGTTTCTCAGCTTTGCAGAGAGCTGTGCTTTCTGAGTGGTGTGTTTCCAGCAGCTCAGAGTCCTCAGCTTGCACACCAGCTTGCTTAGGCTGATATTTTCATCCTGCAAGAGCTGCAGCTGTTCCTGCTAAAGAAGACATCAGTAAGTGCAGACACCCACAAAGATCACGTTCTCCAATAAGTACACGTGCTTTTGAAGTAAGTACAATTGTGAGAGCATGCGACTATTTGTATTTCATTTTAATTCTCAAGTGTTCAAACTTTGCTGTTTGAAACAATGCAGTCTTTGGCAATAAACTTCTATTACCGTGTCTCCAGGGAAACAGGAAATGTGAACATTGCCAGAAACTGAGGAACAAATGGAAAAAACATAATCAAAAATAACAAGCAGGTATGTCCCTCAGAAATGAAGCACTGTTAATGATGATAAACACTGTAATTAAGCCAGATGGAGATTCTGGTTCATGCAGTAGCAGTAGCCTGGTTCACCCTAACTACAGTGTACTCATTAAGAACAAAATCAGAGGATTCATGAGAAGTATAGTCATTGGGTTTTGTTTTCTTTGTTTAAAATAGCAGACTTCACTACACAAAAAACCATAGAAGCAAGGGTCGCAGACGACCTCTGGAGGCCCAGGCCCCAGGACACCTGGTTGAACCTCCTGCTGAAAGCAGGACTGTTGATAACACTAAGCCACATCCACTAAGATCTTGTCTAACCACATCCTGAAGAACTGCAGAGGTGGAGCTCTCACAGGCTCCCCATACTGCTGTACCAGCCTCCTAATGAAGGTTTCCTGCTGCCTGCCATGAACCTCTCTCACCACAGCCAATGTCTGCAGCCCCTTGTTTACCATCTGCCACTGTCAGGAGTTTGGCTCCAACATATTTGTGGTTTCCTGTAGGTGAAGGCTGCTTCAAGATCACCTCTTTCACCTGACCAAACCAGGTCAGCTCTCTTAACTTCTCCTTGGAGGCAAAGTGCTCCACACTGTGCCACTGGTCAGTTTCTCAAACATCCCTCTCCTACTGCTGCGCTCCTTCAAAGGGCTGTGTGCCAGGTGCCCCCTTGTCAGTGCTGGGTAGAATAACAACACCCAGCTGTCTTCTGGCCACTCTCAATGTACCTGTACCAATGCTTTGGGCTGCGCATCTCCTTCGTAGTTTTTATTGCAAGGCTTTTGTAAATCCACTCCTCACATTTTTCAAGCTGTCTGTGCACTGGAGCTCTACCATCTAGTGTCCACTCACCTTCTTATCCTGTGTGTCTCATAGTAGCAGCTGGGCTTTGCCCTTCCTAATTTCATCACTATGGGTCTGAACTCTGAAATATTGTCTTTGTTGCCTGTTCATGCTTTCACTACTTGAGTATCTCTTTTTGCATTTTAGTCCTTTAAGAAAATCCTTGTTATGTCAAATAAGGTCAAGTTTCCATTAATCTCCTTGGTCCACCTGCATAACAGGGCAGCTGATTACAAAATCTTTACAGTTTTCTTTTAAAAATCAACCAGCTTTCCTAGTCACCTTTTTCCCTCATGGCAGTTTCCCAGCAACTTTCCCTGCTTAGCAGTCCTCCAAAAATGTCCCAGTCAGCACTCTTCAAGTTCCAAGTCCTTGCTCTCCACCATAATTTTACAGTCTTCCTCCTGATCCTGAAATCATTTCATAATCACTGCAGCCTCAGATTACACCTACACTTACCACCAGATCTTCTCCATTTGTGAGCAGCAGAAATATGGATTTACACTGGATAGCTCTTTAGCATTTGCTTTTGCATTTAGGATATTATTACTAATGTTGTCTAGGAACTGGCTGTGCTTTTGCAATGCTTTGTTCTACTTCCAGTAGACTTCCAGATGGATAAAACCTTCAGGAAGACCAAGGTCTCAAGACAAAAACATTCTTCTTAGCTCTTGGTAGACAGGACAACTAATTTCTACTCTTGACCAGGCAGTCTGCAGCAGATTCTCATCACAGTCATTAATCATCACCAGTATTCTTTCTTCCTCTAACCTTGACTTGTAGAATTTCAGTAGTACGTCTCCGTACTCATACAAGATCTCAGTCCAGGGAATGAACTCCTCACACAGAATGTAATTCTTGCCTGCTGACCCTTCTTAAAATGTCCTGTAGCCATCCATGCCCATGCTCCAGCTGTGTGCACCAACTCACCAAGTTTCTGTGACTCTGCCCACACCACAAATGTTTGTCTGCATGTGAGCTTCCAGCTCTCCTTGTTCACTGCTTCGGCACAAAATACTTTCCACCTGGGAATGTGAAAGTTGCCCTGCAGCCTTCTCAGACATGGACTTCTTCCATTTCCACTAGTTCCTCATTTACTGCTGAGCATACCTATTCCCCAGGCTCAGACAGAGGTTTAAAGCTCTTCTCACTGTGTTGGTATTACATTTTTATCCTGCTTTACAAGCTTCTCTGCTTAAAGAGATCTGCAGGCATATTTGCTTTAGACCGAGGTATTTAGCCATGATCCATTTGATCTGATTTGTATTCACTGACTGACTAACATAGTTTCAGTACAAATTGAACTTTGCTGAAGAGAGATATGTTTGACTCTAAAAGGGATTGATTTGGAAATTGTATCCAGGAAATTACTTTCCAGGCTTTAGTTTGTATCTCCCAGAATATCAGCGTTAGGGACACTTTCTCAAAACAAATTTGAATATATATTTGATTTTAAGTAACCCTTAATGGAAAAAAGGATTTTGTTCCCACTTTTTATGTGAACAGCTTGCACACTAGTCAGATCTATTAACACATTTATCTGGCTCACTCTAACATCCTTTCGTCTTTCCCCCATTCAAAACAGACAATGACAACAGATGACAAAAACAGTCTGACATATGATTGAATACAAGTTCACATTTATACTTGCACAGATCTAAGTTCAACCTCTGATTTTCACGTACACAGAAAGTATGGAGTTAGAGTCAAAGCAGAGTTCCTGTGTTTAAAACCAAATTCAGTTCAAATACATGCTGATACTCAGGATCTAACTCCTGGGTGTAGTCTAAAATTTCTGTATTTGGAGCACAACACCCAGTCAAAGATAACTGATTCACAACATTCCAACAAACTAGTAGCCGTTAACAGAGTCCAGTAATGGGCCATGACATCCAAGAGAGAATGCAGTAACTCAAGCCAGCCTAAACAAGTTCAGTCAAGATATTATCCTTGTGTTTATTTACAGGCATATTTGTTTCCTTACTTTAGACAACTGTTCTTCCAAGTCATCATTAGTTTCAGGAGATCCAAACTTTTTCTTCAGATCAATCATATTGTCAGCTCCTTCCCTTCTCACTTCACTGATGATTTCAAGCACTCGTTGCTCAATGCTAAGTCGATAGACATCCAACTTTCCCTGCAATCACAAACAGAACCCATTAGAGGCTAAATGCGCACATATGGGAAAGCAATATTCAGAAGATTTCAGAAGTCTCTCAGCTACAACCAGATGGTCTTTCTTGATAATTATTTTCCTAGAGTCAGTGTATCTGAAAGACAGAGCAATACTCTTTTTACATCCAGACATTGCAAGGAGTGGAGTTTGAATTGTATCATTAGTCACCTTATTGGCAAGCCTGGGAGGTAGGCATTCAATGGAAGCAGTTACACTGTGGTGATAAAATAGACATTCTGGTGAGAAATTGACTAACCCTCAGTATTCCTCAAGTCACTAGTGTCTTGACCACAGACACTGATGGGCTTCTGGGCTATGAATCAAAACCCTGGGGATCAGTTACAGGCAGGTGCTTGAAAATACGATGTTAGAATCTGGCAGTTTCTACAGGCAAGAATGGGGTATCATTATTTTTGTAAGTAATGACGTATGATATTGCTGGAAAGAAACTTGAATTACTTGTGGACTACCTTGAAAAACAAAGGCATCGTTAGAGTGAGCAATATTATTACACACTGGACATAAAGTTTTCAAGAATAATAATGTAGAACATTACAAACTGAAGTATTATATCCAAAAAGTTCCTACCACGGTAACTAAAAAGAGCTTCCATCACTCTCTCTAATGTGGTACTTGTTCCATTAAAACTATGCCTCCTATCTCGGAATAGGTACAGAATTTTTCTTACCAGACATTTTTACAAGGTGTTTCTATGGTATACAGCAGGAGATAAATGATTCATCCACTCATCCACCTGGCACACCACAGCAATTTATTCCTTTGAGTGCTACACATGCTGGCAAATTGTCAGCAGTGCAAAAAAGATTGGTTGTGTACCCCTCTTATTCTGTACCTACTTTTAGATGGACACATGTCCCAAATAGGTTCCGCACTAATGATTCATATTCATCCCGTACTTCTTTTCTAATCTTCTCTTTGAGACCAGCATTTTCATCCTCCAAGTCAGCGAGCTGGGCTCTGAGAGCAGTTATTTCCATAATCATCCCATGACTCAGCCTGGCAATCTATCACAGCAGAGAAAGTGAATGAGCAAAGCTAAAGATGAACAAATGCCATCCCCTAGGAGTAAACGATTCAGAGCTCTGAATGTGGTCTGTGGTACAGAATTAAGTATCAGAGTGACAATATCTTCTGAGTGGCTAGGTGATAACCTATAACCCAGTGGGTGACTGAAACCCATTGATGCTGTGTAATAATCTATTACATACATCTCTGTTGGTTTTAGAAGAATTTTGACCATTCGAGACCAATATTTCAAGGGTACAAATGTCATTCATACATACAGTTTCATACTTAACCTTACGAAGTCCGTTTGTGGTAATCAGGAAAGAAAGATGTTCTTAGTAGCAGGTGTAAGAACTGACAGGAGGAAATGTGAGTGCAGGAGAGAGGAATAGGAACAGAGAGTAGAGAGCAGGATTAGGGAGCAGGAGAGAGTCTGATTTTGGTAGAAGCTCCTGTGCACAGCTCTGCTCTGCAGGTGAGCCTGACCTCCTGTAGCTAATATCCCCTACCTCTAAAGGGAAAGCCAGAATTGTGACCAGGCTTCATTTGGTAATCTGTGAGGTAATGCACTTATCACAGCACATGTGCCACCTGCTGATAAGCTTGTACATACAGACCATTTAATATGTGATAAAAACTATTATATGTTCTATTTGTTGATATTTGACAATTAACATACTCCCAGAAAGGGCATGCAGGTGAAAACAAATAGGAAGGTGCATGGGAGAACTTAAATAGTTTTAAATGACAGAATTTAAATTTCACTTGGGTGGGTCATAGCTAGATATAAATACTTGTTTATTCCCATACCACTGAACTGCATTTACAATCAAACGAGCAGAGTGGAGGAAAGCTAAAAACATTCTTAGCAAGTTACATTATTAAGATAACAAATAGGCACTGTAGCGACAGCCAACAGCACTGTCTGCTTTTAAGGCTGCCTGGCATCTCTGCATGCCAGATCTAAGTAATGAGTGCTAATAACTTCACTTTCTCATTGAAATGTTCTGTGTCAGTTTCTTTTTGACTTACAGCAAGCATAACCTAGAGACGTCTGAAAATGAACGCTGGAGAAAATACATGTATTCTGACCCTGCTGAAAAATTCTGGTGATCTCTATGCAGAGCACAGGTTTTCCTGTTTTTGATGTGTTAGGTTTTTTTTTTGGGGGGGGAGGGGTTGTAGTTTTTTTGTTTTGTTTTGTTTGTTTGTTTGTTTTTAAATTGATGAAAAGTTCATAAAATCCTGAGTTCATAGGGGAAAAAAATGAAATGAAACAAAATTTTAAAAAGTCCACATGGTTCCTTTCTGTTCCCTAGAATTCTTCTTGGCTTTGAAACAGCCTACCATTCCATTACGACTGATTATGGCTGCCCCTTTCTCATGATTTCTATCACCTCTACTGAGTATCTGAATGTGTTCTTTCTTGTAGTAGCCCCTTGATTGCTGTAGGCCTGTGAGAAAGCAACTTGTACTGGGAGCTGGACATCTCTTCTGAGGTTGAAGCACAGTCCAGAAACAGTAGGATCTGCCCAGGGTGGCCAGTGACAAGGGATGAGCTGTCTTGTCCTTGAAGGAAGTGGCAGATGAAAGAGGGATTTGGTGATGGGCTCCCAAAGGGGAGGGGAGGATAGACTCCAGTCCCACAGGCTCCTGGAAAGTCCTAATGACTTCCCATATCTTTCCACTCAACTCAGATCTCACACTTTTCTCATCTCCTCTCTCACCTCAGCCTCCCCAGACATGCAGACAGGACAACGAAATCAGGGAAGAAGAGGGGTTGCTGACAAAATACTTCGAAGAGAAGAATATGGGGGCAAAAAAACCCAAAAAAAAACACTGGAAAGAGAATGAGAAAATGGGCCAAAAAATGAATAAGAAACTCAGAGAAGAAGAAATGAAATCTTCTAGTCAGGAACGAGGACAGATGAGAAAATGAACCCAGGAATGCAAAATGCGCATTGCTGTGCAAGAGTCCCCGACACCCAGGCTGCGTTCTCCATACTGCAGGAGACTGTGTTGATGGAACCAAGCCTCCAGCTTAGTTAATAGATTCTATGGGTATTACTGATGCCACAGCATGGCAATTCTGATTTATTGGCTGGATTTACTTCTTAAAAATTCCACCCACACATACCATGTACTAAAAATCCACAGCTGAAGCTGCAAAGTCAACTTGAGAGCAGTTGTGTATGGAACCATAGTGCAGCCTACCTGCCTCCTACACTGCAGCATAGCCTACATGCCTGACACACTGCTATTTCTATCTCACTGCATATGATTGAATCGCACCAGGAAAACGCCTCGTGTAGGAAGAGAGGCTCATCAGTGGAAGTTTAAGTTAAAAGGCTACCATATCATAGCATATCATCCCTTTTGGATATAAAGCAGAGAACAACAGGCTATTGCTACTTTTGCTTCAGGTCATCTTTGTTTCACAGGTCTTTCTGGCATGACTTCTGCCACTGAACACAGAAACAGTGGTTCCAGGGCCCTCCTACTTCTCAAAGACTGTCACCGTGTCTTCACATAATGATACTCTGTCCCAAATGGGATCATCAAGTACTAGCTATCAACACACCATAATCACCTACCTGTGTCAGAGACATATCATTTTGGTTGCCACCATCTTCCACAGCATGCAGCTCCTGAAATGATGAACAGAGAGACACAGTGACTATGTCTATACAACAGCACAATTCTGCTTCAGCAAATTCCCAGCCTGACAGCTTGACTTCCATTTTTACTTAGCAACTACTTCCCACCCAAAGAAAGCTCCTTCTCCAGTTCTGAAAAGAGAAAAATCAATGCTCTGAGCATACTTGCTCTTTTTGGTAAAGTAGACGGTGCAGCTGCTGGAGGATATTTTCATAAAACATGGAGTAGGTCTCAAAGTTGCTGCGTTCTCTGGCCATGATGTCACAGCCCAGCACAGTAAGACACTGTTGTAAGTGGTTTCTCTTAAAAGTAACCTAGGAAAGCAATACAGGAAATCTTACAGGTTGCCTGAATCACAAGTTTCTATATACAGCATATGTCAAAATGAAATATGGCCACTTATTGTAAATTAAATACTTCAGTGGTATCAAAATGAAGCAAAAAATATAATTACTCAATGTAGATGTTTTTACACAATCTAGAGCTTCACTGATTTATTTGGAAAACAAATGGGTCAGCTTTTTGACTGGCTCTACCTACAACTGTATAATGTATTTAATTTCTATCTGAAGCTAAAAGAGAATTTTCAGTAGAAAAATGAATTTACCAGCTCAAGTGCCCACTGTCCCTTCTCTCAAAAAACCCCATGCATTGTGACTTTTAACCAGAAATGGTCATATTGTCATAAATATTTTCTTTACATTTCCCTGAAAAAAACCCTAAAACTGCCTCCCAACATCTCGCAGGGACCTGTGATTTAGCACTGACCAGGGAAGAAGAGTTTCAGCTGCTGAATCCTTGCATAAAGCTCTGCAATCCTGCACTGCAGTTGTATATCAACCTCCAGCCCTAACTCATCCTCACATTATTACAGTCCTGAGATCCGAAATAAAGCTGTCACAAGGCAGCAGGGCAGTACATGAGCTCGCTGCCAACACTGCTATTACAAAACAACATAAGCAGAATAATCATAAGCTTAATAAATGTGTTTCTCTTTTAGGTCACTGATTGACAAGAGCTTTAATAAACAAAGCTGTAAACATAATTTAATTGTTACTCAGTAAATGCAGAGTATGTACCTCTGTATCTGATCCTTCATAGTTTTCCATCAGCCTTTGAACAAATGTTTCAACTATCTGTGGTCGTACAACAGAGAAATTTTCTTTCATTACTCTGTGTCTCCAGAGCTCTGTGGGAATAGAGGGAGGAAAAAAAGACAAAAAAACAGTGGGTATCACTGTCACAAAATATTGATCCTTCAGTAATCCCTAGGATTTGACACTGGGTACACCGTACAGCTTAGGTTTTCTCAGCTTTGCTAAAATGTTTACAACAAAAAGTAAATGTCACTGCAAACAGATTGCAGAGGCTGTGCTGAGCTGCACTATCAAATTTGTTCTGGTATCAAAGCCAAAATGCTAGTTCATTATGGACCAGTTTTGTCAACAATGACCTGGCCCATAGCTCTGCCTTGGAGTTTTCTGTAAATACTGAGAAAAGAACATGGATTTTGTGTGAGATTGAACATTTCTGAACAGTAATTATCACTGCCTGCAATCTCAACCAGTAGCAGGGTATATTTTTTGCCCCTTTTATTTCCACTTTTTCTTTGTTTTACTATACTTGCCTGTGAATATCCATGATATAAGTACAAAGCAAACTCATAACACACTAAAAGTCTGGCATTTAAATTGCACTGCTACGCCTAAAATATCAACACTATTAAAGAGAAAGGGAGAAGTAATGCCTTATCTGTCTGTTTCAAACTGCTTGCAAACTCAAGAATAGTTAGTGTTCAGTGCTTTTTTGCAACACTGTCTTTGTAATGATTATGGTTGAACATTCGTTTATAATGAGGAAGTGAAATCTTCTGTTTAAGGATTTTAAATCTGACACCATTTTCCATCAATTACACCATCCCTGTGGTTCAACTGGTCACTGGCCTCTGCATGGGGATGCAGGGAGCTGAGACCAAAGCCCCTCTCCTATTCACACACAGGAAAACCTTGCTTCAGTATGCACCAGGGATGCTTTTCCACTCTGAGTCTGTGGTTCTCATGTTTCCCAGCAAGGGTGTTTTAACTCTTCTTACCAGTAGGGAGGCTGCTCTCTTGTCTGGTTCTTTCAGATATCACTAGAGTCATCTCCTGCTTAATCTTTTTCTGCACATCATGGATCATGTGGATTTCCAGGCCTTCCAGAAGTTTTTGAAGCTGGAATCAGGTTTCATAGAATACAGAATCATTAAGGTTGGAAAAGACCACTAAGATCATCTAGTCCAACCACCAACCCATCCCCACCATGCCTACTGACTATGACCCTCAGCATCACATCTGCATGTCTTGAACACCACAGGGATGGTGACTCCACCACCTCCCTGGGCAGTTGTCGCAGTGCCTCACCACTTTCTGAGAGGAGATTTTTCTTAATATCCAACCTGAAATAATTCACACCAGATCTCTTTATAACTCCTCTTGTGAACTATCAAAAGCTATCAAATTAAGCCAAAACAAATCTACACTTTCCGTTCTTTCCCAAAATGCAGTCGTTTCTGGTGCAGTACCAATGTTAATAAATTTTTGGGGTGATTATGTGCCTACCTCTGTGCTACACATGCTCTGGACTGAGGCAGGTTCTCCTGTTCCTGTGGACTGTCCCAGGACTCACACCTCCCTCCACAAAGACAAGGTGCTGCTACAGACTGTACCCAGACATCCACATCTTTCAGATGTGAAGATCCAGATCCCATAATATCCTCCATGGTACCCACTGGACTGTAGTGCACCCATTATTAATTCTCCCCTTACCTGATACACTTTCATTTCAGTTTCTGATACTCCTCTTGGGGGAAGTACATGCTGAGTGCTTGTGACAGGCTCTCTGAAGTCCTCCTCAATGCCCATTTGCCTGGTCATGGCTTTCATGGCTGGGTGCAGAATTTCTGTGCTAGAATCACCAAGACATGGGTATTTCTCACACATGTACAATCTTTGGACCTTAGCTTTGCTTTTCCTTCCCTAGCCCCTTTTGCTAACCCATGCAAAATATGCAGTAGTCCCACTCAACATCCAAGAAGGGCAAGATAATCTCTTCTTTGTGGAACCTGTCTTCTTACATAGTTCAGTAATCTCTCCAGGTTTATAATAATGCTAAAAGAAATGTGAGGGGAAGAAAAAGAGAGTCAAGCAAATAAATCAGGGAGATCTGATCACCTGTAAGCACATGGCTATCACTGTCAGGGAAGCAGACCAAAAAACTCCCCCACCTCCTCTGCCTGCAGCCCTTCATTCCCAGTCATGGGTTTGCTAAGTGCTTCTGAGTGCTGAGTGCCAGTGCTGATGAGCCCTTTGCTCTGAGAAGTAGAAGAGCCATTAGCAAGGTATATATACCTCGTTAGATTTTGTTACACTTTAATCACACTGCCTTTTAAATCCTTGATGGCAGGACACACAAAGGTTAGCACATCGCTGAGGGAGAGGGAAGTAGGAAGTTCTCATCTGTGCAAGGAGAGGAAAGCACAGTGGGACTTGGGGGTACAGCATGTGCTTTAAAATAGCCCCATTCTGACAGCAGGGAGATCACCTGCTAGGAAGGAGTTGCTACAGCAGCACAGAAACTCCTCCATGCATTTCTTTCTCCATGCTCCCCTGCATGACAGCTGTTTTTCAGCATCTGCACAGATTTCACCTTACTGCGTCATCTTATACTTTCACTTTCTTTTGTGTGGTTTCCGGGGACAAAGCTTTTTAAAAAGCAGTGTTCCATTTTCTACTCCCAGAAGGGCCTCTCATGGAAATCATCCAGATTTTTGTTCTTGACTTCTCTGAGTTAAGCCAAGTAGGGGGGGTTGGAAGAATTCTGCTAGAATTCATCTAAAAGGCTTCCCAATTTTCCATTTATTAAAGCACTGAATTTAACACTGTTTATGAGGCCTGAAATTCAGAGGTAGGTCACACAACAGGGAAGAAGGCACTTGGAAAGCATCAGCAGAAAACTATCTGAATAGACATAGAAAGAGGGAGAAAAAACAATCATATCAAAACAGGTAAGAAAGGTAGCTTCCAAGCCTTTAGAGAAAAGCAAAAGCACTAGATCAACCAGGAGCAAAAATAAAGATACAAATTTCAAGAAACACTAGTGAAAGAGAGTGACAGGAGGAAAATGGGTGAAGAAGTCAGAGGTTTCTCTCATTTATCATCTTTTCAGTCACTTTGGAATACTGCATCCATGCTAACTTACCCATATCGCTCACAGAACTCTTTGTAGAGAGGAACTGTATTGATCTCCTCAGTCCTCAGCTTGAGCCGGCCCCATTCTGCCTTTAATATTTCCAGTTGTTTCCATAGCACCAGAAAAGACCTTAGCAAGTTACATGATGTAACTGGATCATGATGCCTCAGCAGAAGTTTGCACATCTTTTTGCTGCTCTGCAACCAGTTAGCACTTGGGTGAGTCATCTGTTCTGAGTTCTGCTGAAAGTTACAGGGAAATCTTTTGCCTCAGAAAGCTATGGTGTGCTTTTCATGTGCCTTTCTTTGCTTAATAGCATCTCATGCAATGTAAAGTGAAATGAGATATGTGACAAACTCTTCCATATACAAAACTTTCACATCAGTGTCTTCAGAGCACAGCAGAGGAAAAAACAGGGACAGTTTTGATTGCATTGAGTATTCCCATACAACAGAGATGGGAAGAAAGTTGCACAGAAGTTAAATCCTTTGTTTACTGCTGTTTTCTTCAAGTGAATATCTTCAACGGCAACACTGCGTTATCTCTAACTAAAAGTATGACTACAGAAATCAAATTCTTAGCTCAGATCTTCAGGAAGTAAACCTTGAAATAACTAAATTTGTCCTCTTCACATGTTTTATCACAAAACCAATCAATATATCTGCTTTCCATCACAAAGCAGTTTGAATCTCTCCCCACCCACTGAAAAAAAACCTTTGTTCCAGTTCTGGCAAGTGCCCCCAGCTGCCATCCCTCATTTACAAGTCCACAATACATGACAAGCTCTTCTTTTTTAGACAGTGGCCAGGCTGCTCCTGTCTGCTTGGCAGTAGGTAGTTCTTTCTAAAGAAAGAGTTGGATCTTTTGTGGGCTGTGGGGAGAAGTCATGGCTTTCTCCAGAATTCTGATGATAGCACCAGGTACTCAAGGGGAGACTGTCACCAGCACTTCTCTCATGAACACTCAGGGTTTGTAAGAGAGAACGCTGTTCTTTTGGCCTCTTACCAGATGGCCAGGACTAGGTAAAGTTATTACAGCATACTTCAGTTCTGTGTCTCTTAAGTTCACAGAGATTTGCTTGTGAAACCTAGTGGGAGGCCTAGACGGAAGGCGCATGACGCCATACAAACTGATTTGCCAGAGGTACCTGCTTACTGTTAGCTAACGAGGCTTGACAATCAGCATGATCATCCACAGCAGAGTCATCATGGTTCTGCAGGACATCCTCCATTAGAAACTGCATGGCAGCTAGCTCCCCATGAGCAACACTCCGGTCTGCATCATTCAGGTTGCACAGGCATAACTGGAGAGGAAGAGAGAGGCTGTAAAGGTTTATTGCTCAGAGCCCAACAGTAGCAAATCTGAGCTACTGTGATCATGTGTTGTTTTTCTGTGTTATGAGCCCAAATGAAGTTAAAGCTTTTAGCACCGTGGTCCTAAAACACATATACATAAAAATTATTTGACTCTTTAGTTCTAGCATAGCAGGAACATGACAATTAGAGGTTCTCTGTCAACATAAAACGCTCTGCTATGCTTGAAGTAAGATCAAATAAAGTAAATGGTAGAACAGGCTTTTGAATAGAAAAGGGAGATATGTTTTTTGGTTCACTTTTACTCTTAAGAAATGAAGATGGGAAATGAGACAGTATTTGTTTGTTTTCCTCTTGCATTGTAGATTGATTTTGGCTTTGTGTCTTTGGACATAAGCACAAGGATGCTGTACCTGCATGTTGTAATTTAAATAAATTGTGTTGTTGACAGTGACTGGAAACAATCCTTCATCCATTAGGAATGTCCTCCAAGGAAAAAGCATGAGTGTCTAAAAGATAAGAGAAGACTGTTCATAAAAAAGAACAACATGTAACTACTTATGAGAGTCCCATATAATATGATCAGGAAAAGGCAAACAGAGGCCAAGCTGCGTGGCAGGTGATACACTGCTTTCATGTTGAAAGTAGACTGTGTATTAGAAAAGAAAGAGGCATTTAATATTTCTCCTTGGAAAGGAAGCAGTAAGAGTCATTCTAGAGTGTTTCTACTTCTGTCTTCACAGAGAGCTCCTAGTTCCCTACATTGTGTCTGTCAATCACTTACTGTTGCTCATACTGCAGAGGCATCAGGACAAGGCTTCCCAAGGAACCTACATCTAATTCATCAGTGATGTTGAGATTATGCATGCAAGTACAAATGTTGTTTCTCCATTATGCTTTGTTATGTGTCACTGTCACCTAAATCAAGGTGAAAGTGGCAGAAGATTGTATTCCTGTAACTTGCTGTTCAGGAGAGACATTTTTAAAGGTAAAACAGTATTATCAAATAATGGAAAATTAGCAGGATGGGATGAAGATGAGGAAACATGAAGTTAGCATGATGACCCAAAACTGCCTGTTCACTTGGAACATGCTTATATCACCAGCAAGACTCACTTTTACTTCCCTTAGCATTACACCAGCTTTTTTGTCAGTGTCATTCAAGGTGCTCCTTTAGCTCCTAAATAGCTGATCTGGCATTGTGTAATTCTGCACAGTGCTATAGCTAAGAAAGCAGCAGACTTAACTACTTTACCCACAACCACGACAGACATATTGGGCAATGAAAACTGCTTCAGGTGATGAGAAAATTCAGAAAGATTATTAGCCAACACAGAATGCTAGAAATATCAGCAGAGTATAGATAGGCAAAACATTCCAACATAGAGCATAGAGAATAATTGCATTTTGGTGACACCAGTTTGATTATATTCCAACTTAATTTTTTATTATTCGCTTTTGTAGAGTGTTTTCTAGAATCACAAATGACAAATCAAGTTAGTAAACCTTGATCATGGAAATGTTTTTAATTAGCTGTTAAGTTCTTTGGATTGGGGTTGGGAAGAGTGAGCACCCCAGCAAGAACTGCAGAGTACTTTGATCTCCAGGGAGCTCAGCACAGAGGAAGAGTGTCTTTGCATGTATGTTTTACTCACTCTGCAGCTCTGAACATCCAGCAGCTGTGGGAGCCTCAGCTGTGCAGCAAACACACTTGGAATCACAGAGTTACTCAGTGGAGGTAGTGCATGGTATATCCTGTCTGTAATACTCTGGTAGGCTGAAACATTCCCAGAGGACAAAAATGTCTCCCTGCGAAAGAATCAAATTTTTTGTGTTTCAAAGAACTGAGATTGTTTAAAAAATTCTCAAAATGTTCCTCAACAGAATCCCTTACCTTCTCCTCATTATAACCTGACATAATAGTGAGTGACAGCAATCACTGCAGATGTTCCAATTAAAACAAACAGATACAACCCTTAGTGATGTAGATGCATGTGTGAAAGAGCATCTGACTGGGGGCATTTACAGAAAAACATACGGTTACAGTCAGGTAGCTAAAAGATGCAAGAGCTCTATTACCTATTCCCGATACTGGGAAAATTTCCTCTACAAAGTGGGACAGTCACTAATACTTTTCAAAAGTGCGTACAAAGCTTTGGATTCTGAATTACAGGTTACCCATGGTCCAGAGCTGAGTTTAGCAACGACGCTCCCTGCTGATTTCCCATGAGACCCGATCTCACACAGCAAGTGCTGGGCCACACAGACACAGCACAGCCTGGCTAAGCAGCAGGAGCTGCCAAACCAGCAGTGCTGTTATACCACATGTATATATTGCTTCTGGGAGCAACTCATAATGTTTGTACTGCATTGTGCTGTGCAATTGCATGCATAAAGCTGTTTTTTACTACACTTTATGCATCATGTAAGTATGTCCTTCAACCAAGCTTAGCCATAACTGCCATTTCATCACAGCCCCTCTGTCATACTCAGTTCTCCTGTATTTCATTCACATGCCTTTAAAACATAGAGCCCATGATAAATTGGTTCTTGCAGTAGGAGAAGCAATCGGTTCCAACTCCTGTAGCTGCACATGCTCCTTTGAGTAGCAACTCTAAGGAAAAGATCTGCTCTTCTATTTTTTTCACACTCACAAGCGCTCTTAAAAATACCATGCAGTTCTTATCAGCTGGAGACTAACAAAGGAGTCACAAGGACAAATAACAGCTTCTGGAATTAAACTTAGCAAAGATGTTCATACGAGATTGTGATGTATTGCCACACTGTATGCCCTGGTGTGAAGAAAATGGAAACTAATTGCACATACAATATGAACAAACTGCTGTAGGGAATATGCTTCAGCAATAGGTTGGACGAGATGATCTCCAGAGGTCCCTTCCAACCCCCCATGATCTTGTGCAATAACGATGAAGAATAGGACAGACTGCATTTTTTTATACTTCCTTTTAAAGCACAGTTCCTCATGTGAGGAAAGGTTTTCCCTTACCAATTGTCCTTACAGTATTTTAATCAGGAAAAAATAGAAACAAAAGCACAAGAGTGTTTTATCTCTGTGTGAGTGTCCAGAAAAATCCTTAGTCTGTAAATACATACAGCTACTGGGCAATTTCACTGGATAGCACAAGTGAGGTCACACTGAGTGAGAGCAACAGTCCCTCCAGCCCAGAATCCTGCCTCCCAAAGTGAGTTCACGAGAAGGATGCAAAAATCAAAACAAGCATATGCTGCATTTCCCACAGATATTCTTTAAAAAATTGTAGCTCACACATTTCCTCAGCCAGAGGTAAATAACTTCTGAATGTTTAATAGCCATTGGTAGATTTCTCCACAAGCCTGTGCAGTCTCACTCTGAGTCCTATGAACTTTTACCATTGTGTCCTGTAGCAAGAAATCCCACAGTCTAATTACAAGCCATCTGCAAGAGCTTTGCTCAGAAACAGCTATCTGTTGTTCACCTTTGATGCACCTTACACTAAAGAAGACCATGAAGCAATCTTTGTTCCTCATGTGCATTCGACTCATGGTTTTACAGAGCTCCACCTCAGCTGTCCTACTTATTCCATGCAGTTCTGAATCTTTGATCATCTCTGTGGCCTTCCTAAGTTCTCTGTCCTTTGTGTCCTCTGTTACAGGGCACCAGAAGTGCACAGCCTCATCAACATTTATTTATTCAGCGATTTAGTGTTCTTATTTTCACTCTCCATATATTTCCTAAATTGAATTGATTTCTTTCTTTTTTTTTTTTTTGTTGTTGTTGTTGTTGTTGTTGCTATTGCGCTGAAATTCTGACAGAACTATCTATCACAACTCTGAGATTTCATCACGGTGTGGTAATGATCAAGTCAGAGACTGTCATTTTACATTTTGGGAATGCATTTTTTCCCCAGGTGCATCATTTTATGCTTAATGACACACAGTGTTCCATCTATTTTATTTTTGCAGTCACTTAGTTTTGTAAGGTCCTTCTTCAGTCAGCCCTTGCCCTGGGCATCCTGGATATCTCTGTGTTATGCACACACAGTATCACCTCAGCCTCAGTCTTGATTTCATGTCATTCTTGCCTGCACAACATAGTGGTCATATTTTTTTAACCATAGAATCTTTTGAGTTGGAAGGGACTCTTTTAGGACATCTAGTCCAACTCCCCTGCAATGAACAGGAACATCTACAGATAATTAAGGTTGCTCAGTGCCCTGTCCAGCCTGACTGTGAATGCCTCCAGGGATGAAACATCCTCCACCTCCCTCAGCAACTTGTTCCAGTGCCTCACCACTCTTACTGTAAAAAAAGCTTATTCCATATGTCCAAATTAAATATCTTCTCTTTTAGTTTGAAACCATTTCTCCTTGTTACATAACCACTGACCCTGCTCAAGAGTCTGTCCTTTCTTATAGCTCCTCTCTAGATATTGAAAGGCCACTATCATGTCTCCCCAGAGCCTACTCTTCTCCAGATTGAACAGCCTCAACTCTCTCAGTCTGTCCTAGTAGGAATGGTGTTCCATCCCTTGGATCATTTGTGTGGCCCTCCTCTGGATGTGCTCCAGCAGGTCTATGTTTCTCCTGTACTGAGAACTCCACATCTGAACACAGTACTCCAGGTATGGTCTCACCTGAGCAGAGAGGGGCAGGATCACCTTCCTCAACCTGCTGGCCATGCTTCTTTTGATGCAGCCCAGGATACAATTGGCTTTCTGGGCTATGAGGATACATGGCTGGTTCATGTCCAGCTTGCCATATACCAGTATCCCCAAAGCCCATCCACAACTACAGCCACAAGTCTATGGGACCTGGTGAGATGCACTCCACAGTCCTGATGGAACTGGCTAATGTAGTTGCCAAGCCATTCTCAGTGATATCTGAAAATTTGTGGCAATCAGGTGAAGTCCCTGGTGACTGGAAAAAAGGCAACATCACATCAATTTTTAAGAAGGATAAAAAGAACGATCCCAGGAACTACTGACCTGTCAGTCTCACCTCTGTGTCAGGAAAGATCATGAAGCAGATCCTCCTGGAAGCTATGCTAAGGCACATGGAAGGCAGGGAGGTAACAGTGGAGAACCAGCATGGCTTCACTAAAAGCAAATCCTGCTTGGCTAACCTAGTGGTTTTCTATGCAGATGTAACTACATCAATGGACAAGGGAAGAGCCACTGATGTCATCTGTCTAGACTTCAGAAAGTCCTTTGACATGGTATTCCACAACATCTTTCTTTCCAAACTGGAAAGATACGGATTTGATGGGTGGACCATTCAATGGATGAAGAACTGGCTGCAGGATCAAGTCCAGAGAATAGTGGACAATGGTCAATGTCTGGATGGAGATCAGTGATGAGTGGTGTCAGGAGTCAGTTCTGACATTAACAGTGAGGTTGAGTACACCATCAGCAAGTTTGCTGATGACACCAAGCTATGAGAGGTGGTTGACAAGCCTGAGAGATGGGATGCCATTCAGAGTGACCTAGACAGGCTTGAGTAGTTGTGTGTTTGAAACAAGAGTTATTATTTATCTTAATGTGTCCAGAAACATTGTTCCTGAAAATGTCCTGAGTCATTTTTCATCTAGCCCATCACAGTTCACAGTCACTTTTATTTTCTTCTTTGGAATGATACTTCCGTTTCATTAAGGATACTTCTTTCTTGCTTTAAGGATCTGTTTAATCTTGCTGCTTAGCAATGTCAGCATCCTCCTACTCTTTCTTAAGTCTTTCTTTACATGTGGTGCACATTTCTTGAGTACCTCCAGAATGTCTCCAGAGTCTCCATGCCATCTGTAAGAATTTAACTCCTCCAGCTTATACTTTATTTCTTCATCAAGTTGTTTGGGTTTTTTTGTTTGTTTGTTTTTGTTATTTCCCTTTTTGAAGCTGATCTCAGCTATGATGATACGTATTTGGCTTTCACTATTCTTTCAAGGATGCTTCTTGCAAACATGCTCTTAGAGAACAGTTCTTTAGCTGTAGCAACTTGAACTAGGTCATGCATGTTATCCAGAACCAAGTCCAGGAGTTGTTTCCCTTCTGGTGGACTCCCTCACCTGGCTGTAGATGCCGACACCCCTAATTTAGTAAACTATGAATCACAACATAAAGGTGCTGTAATGATCAGATAGTAGGACAGCTATACTTGGACATGGTGTATTGAGATCCCTCAGTGAAGCGTTTAAGGATTCTCACTAATTTTGATGAATGCCAGGAATTACATTTCTACCCATCATACTCAGAGTGGATTTCAGGGACAAAATTTATATTAATCTTTCCTACTTTATTTTTTTCTTCCCTGTAAACAACAAAAAAAAATCTCTCTAAAAAAAAAAAAAAAAAAAAAAAAAGTGCCGTATCTATTTCCAGCAAGCTGTAATCCCTACCGTAGTCGATGCCTGATTGCTGCATCAAACTGTAGAAACATTACATCTCTGTGAGCAGCTAGCAGCTGGGCTACTTCGCTGGGATCCTGAGGATTCTTGAGGCTGTCAATCATTCTCTGTATCTCTTGCAGTTCAGTCCCTGCAGTCCAAGAGCAGTAGATTTATCAGATAAGGTGTCAGGAAAGGCACATGAAAACACCACAGTGCTGTAAATGCTTTTTCCACCCAGATATTTTGCATCCCATTATTTCCTGCTTTTTTTTTTCCTGCAGACAGAAGATGAATGGACTTACATCCTCCCTAGCTCTATAAAAACAGGCTTTAAAATAGAGATTATGGTGGGTGGAGAAATATGAAGATGTACTAAGGCCATGGAGGAAAAGGCATAAAAATTAAAAGTTACAATTATCTCAAACAGTTCTTTTATTATCTTTGCCAATTAAAAAGTCAATTATTAAATGCCAACAAGGCCAGTGGTACATTTCATCCTATTGGTCATCATATCAAGACTAAATTTATCAACAGGAGCAGAATCAGATCCTAAGATGGCATTTTACATACTCAAAAGACCCAAATTAGTAATTACTGGATAAGGAATGTCAGGGCAGCTTTTCCAACTACTCTCAATAAAATGGTTTTGTAGTTCAATCCTGCAAGCTGATGAATATTTTTCTGCTGAGGTGCTGAAGTTTTGGGTTCTCTTTAAGCTTAACAAACTTCCCAAAGGAGTAGGCCTCCCTTAGTCAATATTCCCACTGGAGCACCCATTCTCACTTGCTGTACACAAAATGTGAGCACGGTGCTGGACTGCCTCCCAAAGCACATCCACCACAAAAATGATTTAACATCCAAGCAGCTGCTACAGAAACCCAACATTCTTTCTGTGCAGGATACAGAAGCTGCCATAAATTAAGTAAGTTAAATGTTCTGATCTGGGAGAGAGGGAGAATATTCCTGAACAACAGCAACAAAAAAGATATTTTGTCCAGGAGCAACATAGTTAAATTCTATCTACAAAAATCCAATAGAAGAGGCAGCATAGTTCTGAGGACTCCATCACTGCATGTATTTTCTGTTTTAAAAGCAAGGTACACATTAAATACGTCTGAAATTCAAGTACCTTGCATATAATATTCCTCCTATATTTGATTACGTGTTTTCTCATTGCTCACTGCGCTCAGCCTTCTGTATTGTTTGAAAGCTCGTTAAACATGCTAATTTACATGAGCTTTCTCACCCATACACAAATGAAGTTACTAATACTCACTTAATGGTGCAATGAACACACACTACAGAACAGGCAGTGCTTTTTGTTGAAAATAAGCCCACTTCAAAATCACTCACAAGCGTGGTATTAAAATAAAAGCTACATAACAAGTGTTTATGATTCACTGAGTCCTTTCTTCCCCTCCCTAAAGAAATTTCAGGATGTATTCAGAGCTGATAATAAAAATCTTGCTCACAAAAAAAAAAAAAAAAAGGAAAATAATAAAAAAAAAAGAGTGGAGGCAGTAAAAGACAAAGTAGAGCATTTACATATGTTTCTCAATTCTTGTATAATTTTGTATCTTTACCAAATCGCCATGATTAATTTCTCATCTTCAAAAGGATGCCAGGACAGAAGGGAAGCTGTGTAGGTGTAGGTTTTACCCCTGAATTGTGCCTGAGCAATGGCAAATCCGCAGACATAGGAATGTAAGCATTCCTAGTGGTATAGCAGCAGCCCAGCCCTGCATCACACACACACACACACACACACACACACAGAGCAAGAACTGTACATAACGCGTATGTTGTGAAATTCCCACTCACTGCACTGCAGGAATAATCCAGGGGCTGAAAACAACAAATGCCACAACAAAGAGCACTTCAACTTCTGGGCCAGCATTCTCTCCTGTAACTTCAGTTGCCTATTTATCAGACGTCAAGTTTAGCTGCATTCCTGCAACATTAAGTAGAGGAATACAGGCAGCTACAAGGAGGGCTTTTCCCGTTCACTGTAAACACATCTTAGCTTGGGATGAGCAACTGCTCTAAAGGTGTGTCCAGAGAAGGTGTCCTGTGATAGCAGGGGCACCCAGCGAGTAGTCAGACATCACAGCTACATACCCAGCCAGTAACGTGAAGCTAAGCACATCCCACTCCTGCACTGCCCTTAAACATGAACTATTATTAGGTGATCTGGTACTGTTTCCGCACAAAATGATGTTTGTGCAGGATGACATGCACCACATCTGTTTCAGCCTTTGGAAAGAGAATCAAGTGACAGATTTACTAATGGAACCAAAGACAGCTTTTTTTTAATCTGCTGGTTAAGACAAAATCCCCACAAGCTGACCAGATGGCTTAACAGAAAATTGCAAGAGGAGGAAGAGCAATTTTTGGACTATATTTTCTGTTCCCTTCTGGAGCAGAAGTCACAAACCTGGTAGGTATGCTGCTTTTCTGTAAGATTGCGACAGATCTGTGCACGGACTTTCAAAATGACACTCCTTCATCAGAAAAATGGAGCAGGAAGGGGAAAAAACAGAATGGAATTTTGTCTTAAGCCTTCTGTTAACATCAGTCTCACACTTCCTTTGTTCCTTTCTCATCCGCAGCATTTCACCCTCATTCTGCAGATTTGGAGAAATCTACCTTGAACAAGCAGTACCTGCTACTTACCAATCCTTCCAATCCCTCCCCAGTCTGGAGTCAGAGGCTCTGGGTTTAAGGCACAAAAAGAGCTTGGTGAATTTCCTAACTGAGCAAAAGCCAGGAGATAGGCAACGACATCATGAAATGCACCAACAATTTGCAGGCTTAGGCGGAGAGCTTTGAGAGCAGCCTGCAACCAAGACACACACGCAAAGAAAAAACCATTCAGATGATTGGCCTTCAAAAAATACATTAAAGTAGGAAATATTTTTGAGCAAGTGTGATTTTGCTGTCAGCTGTATCACTTGGACTGCAGTCCTAGAGATGGATACACCTAGATCCAGATAACAGGATCTTTGCTGAAGAACTAATTTTTACATCCCATCTACTTTCCACTAGTGAGGAAGGAATGGGAGCACTAATGGATGCTGCTACTCAGACACATTTGTCCCCTGGCTACAACAGCTGTCACAAAGTGATACTTCTCAGGATGGTCCCCAAGACAGAGGTTTGTGACTGCAGCCCTAATTCAAGCTGGATGATCTGCATGGCCTCTCAGTCCCAAAGATCAGCGTCAAGTGCAGGGTTTAATTTAGGCTCAGGGTAGTGCTCACATCTGTCAGTGTACCATCTGGTGTCACAGCCTCTGGTTTAGAAACTGCTACCCCGGTGCCTCACAATAGTCTTTTTCACTGTTTATTTCTCTCCAAACAGCTTCCTTTTGCTGGAGGCAGAAAAGATAGCATTAGGAAAATGCATACTGTTTCCTTCCCCTCACTAGAGTCTTCCCTGCAGCATGGCCATGGTAAGCCCAGGGACCTCCTTCTCCCTTTCCTGTTTCCTCAGACTGAGAGAAGGAGGTAGAGAAAAGTAAAAGCACACAAAGGTCATGATCTGTCACTTCTATATATGAGGGGACAAATATTAGAATAGCTCAGCAGGAAGGCACCCACAAAGATCATTCAGTCCAACTGCCTGACCACTCCAGGACTAACAAAAGTTACAAATCAAATGTCTCTTGAGCACAGACAGGCACAGGGTATCACCCATCTCTCTAGGCAGTCTGTTCCAATGTTTGACCACTTTCATGGTAAAGAAATGTTTCCTAATGCTTAGTCTGGTCCTCTTCTGGCACACCTTTGTACCCTTCCCATCCTGCCATTGGTACCAGGAAGCAGAGCTCAGCACCTCCCTCTGCTTCCCCTCCTCAGAGAGCTGCAGATAGGAGTGAGGTTCCCTCTAAACCAAAAGGACAAAAGGTCTCTCCTTCCTGGCAGGCATTCCTCATTAGCTCTCTTCATCACTGGCACATCCTAGCTGCACCCAGATCAAAAACAGACATATTTCTCCACCTCCAATGACAAGAAGTACTGTAATGCATGTGTAAAGATGTGAATGGTCTACCAACAAGAAAAAAATCTCTTTTACCATTAGCAAATACTGACCTTCTCTGAAAGCATCTTGAACATAATCAGCACTTCAGTAGGGTGAGGGATGAACCACAAATTAAGGAAGGTGCATCCATCTGGGGACAGCAAATAGTGTGGTCGAGGATGGAAGAATCTGAGTGATTGCAAGAAGGAAGAGATGCTTAGCATTTTGAAACTCCATTTCTCCTTGACACTTCCCAGAAACATGTATTTTTTAAGTTTGATGAAGCTGTTACTTGGACATAGGATTTGCCTCTAAGTTTTAGAGCAGGTGTGTTTTACATTATTTAACTTTGATGTGTAAAATACAAGCTAAAGGTTGGACCTAAAAAAACTGCTGAATTCAACAGAAATTTTCTTTGGTTTTACAACCAAGTTATAAAACACCTCAGTTGAGAAATTCTACAGCAGCACTTTTGAGTTAAGCTCAGCCACCTACTCCAGTGGCCCTTGTGTATCAAAACAGTACTGATTACTGAAAATTGACAAGAAAAGATCAGGCATGCAGAGATGCACCACAATATGCTCTGGAAGGGACATCATCTCAGATGGGAGCCCAATGACAGCTCCTCCAAAGACCTAGCTACTCCATCCAAGGCACCAAGAAGCCCCAGTCCTCATAAATCCCAGGAGATGTGAATTGCATTCAGCACCTGTGGGAAGCAGACACAGGTTTGGAAGAATTGCCCCCTTGCTCTTTAATGCAAGAGGCAAAGAAGCAGAGTGCAGTTGTTTTACCTTATTTCCCCAACTTTGTCGTCTTCAAAATTAAAAAACATTGATTTATCAGAGCCAGGCCCCTTCCCACCATGTCAAAGAAAATTAGTCTCCAAAGAGTGACCAACACATCTAATTCATAAAGCTGGGATGTGAGCTGCTCCGTGTAGGGCACTCAGAGCCTCTTACCCAGGAACGCGCTTCAGCTCTGCAGAATGGGAGACAGATAAGGCAAAGCAGCAGGCATACAGATAGATACTAGATAATTGTATTAAAAAAATAATGTGCAGTTACTAGTAGGCAGCCAGTCTTCTTTTTTTTTTTTCCCAGAAGATATTCAAATACATTTATTGTAGGAATAATGTACTCCCCTGTTATAATATACAAGGTGTCATTTCTTGTACATGAGGTACAGTGTGCAGTCAGTACATTCTGAAATAAGACATAAATTCAGCCTGGAAATTAAGCTCAGCTTGTTCTGAAGTGAGTTTTACAGGGTTTTAAATCTTGATATATGTATTTTTTTCTTTTGTCTGCGAAAAGCAAAGCTGAATGCCAAAAAAATAGACCTTTGGTTTAGATGGGATGGAGGAACAAAAGGTTAAATACCTTGTGTTGTAAGCACGGAAATTATATTTGGGCAGGGCTTGTTTGACCAGCTGCCTCTCACTAATTTTTGCAGAACAATGGTAAGCACAAACTGCACAGAAGGAAACTGCAAGTGACGCTTTTCAGAGTGAGAGCAGCACTCACACTGTATAGCTTTGTTTCCTCCTCCTGACATCACAGCCTGTGAACAACACCAGAAGAGAGAGCAAACACAGATGCAGAAGCACACACACTGCCCAGATGCGTTCTGTCTTTACAGATTTGAGGGGACAAGGGCTAGAGTCTGTCATAACTGCCATGCTGCTCCAGCACACTGTGCTGATTACACACGTGGCTAATTTCCAGCCACAGCTGCAACGGAGCCCAGTGATGTGTGGCCCTGGCACCTTGTTTCTCCAGGAGGAAAATAAGGACATCTCATAGCATCAATGTGAACATGGGTGCTGCCAACCCCAGCACCACTAGACTAGATATTAAGAAGAAATTCTTTACTGTGAGGGTGGTGAGATAGTGGAACAGGTTGCCAGTGAGGCTGTGGATGCCCCTTCCCTTGAAGCATTTAAGGCCAGGTTGGATGGGGCTGTGAGCAACCTAGTATAGAGGGAGGTGTCCCTGCCTGAGCAAGGGGATTGGAACCAGACGATCTTAAGGGTCCCTTCCAACCCAAACCATCTCTCAGGAGAACACAACATAATCCTAGCCTAAAAACCAAACCCAAGATATGCTATATTTGGTCACACAGATCCTATAGCATCTAAAAGTGTACGGCTAAGAACAGTGACCTAGTTGTTCGAGTTTTTTAATGCCAACCTAGGAACAAAGAAAAAGGCTGGGGGAAGGGAAGGACAGGATGGTACTGCCACACAAAAACCACAGCACCACGTTTTCCTCTTTCTTCCTGCTTCTCACAGTTACCTCTAGGACAGCACCTGCTGAAGGACTCTTTCATTACCTTCTGTATGATACGACCTGCACTGCACCTGAGTGCTCCTGCCCTTTTCTCAATTCTGCTCACGCAGGGTTTCCTGGTGAGGGTGGGCACAAGGCAGGTGCCCACAGCCCCCCCTCATCCCACTGCATCTGGGCTCTGCAGCGAGAGGTGGCAGAATCGGCAGGACAAGGGGCTTCATCTGGCCAAACGCAGGTGCTTATCATATGAGCACCTACCTTTACCATATGAGTTGCTGGAGAGAGCCAGAGGCATTGCTAGGACACAATTCATATGGATCTTAAACAGGTCAGGTGCATGACTCATCCTTTTAAACCACCTGTAGACACTCTGGGGAGCCTTATCAAAAACAGGCATCTTAAGTTAAATAGGCTCTTCTGGAACAGTTCTGTCGATATTAATGAACTTCAGGCTTTTGAAAATGTATAGATATGCAAATAGATTTTCATTATAAATATTTCTATTCTCATTTCTTCTGCATCTTTTCCAGAATCTGTCCTTCCCTTTGCTCTTTATTCCATTATTCTTTTTTTCCCACCGTTCTTCTTCTTCCCCCCATCAGTCTGCCTCCACCACTGCACTGAACAACCATCCTGCAGACCACATCCACATTTCTCCCACCCATCTGCTGCTCCTTCCCACTGGGAGGGATGGAGAGCACATGACCTGCTCCAAGTGGCCAGCAGCCACAGATGCAGACAGCGCTGAGGATTGCTTAGAAGATAAGAAAGCAATTGAATTAACATCCTACTGCAACGTTCTAAATGCAGGCAAGATGGAAGCTAAATTTCTGCTTTCATTATAACAAATTGACAGTTGCTGTCTACACAATGCTTCTTAGCTCTTGCTAAACAGCAACAGAAAATGAAACATTAACCAGTAGTAACTGATAAGGCAAGGATGAAAAAAGTACAGAAGGGTTGAGAAGGCAAGATCCACTTTTAATTAAAGCCTCTCCTACTGCTCCCTGCAGCTAAGATGACTTTCTTCTAGCACAAATGCCCATTTCTGAGCTTCCCAGGAAAGGAGTGAGGCTGAGCCAGGGGCGTGTTGCAGCCATATCCACACCAGCTGCTTTCCAAGCACTTCCATTTTAACTGCCTCCAGTAGGTAGGGGTTTGCATTTCACTCGTGTTACAAGTTAAAATACTGGTATTGCACTTTTTGAAGAACTGTAGAAGTATAATCCTGTAAAGTATTCCAGTGCATTGAGCCATTTACTTGCTGATGAAAAGTTACAGGACCAAGAAACACAAGCCACTCTCTGATAAGAGTACATGATGTTGGATATCCCACCAGAGGCAGTGTTCCTCCATTCCTTCTCTGTTGCAGGACGGATACATCTGAGATGCACTATAACCTTCTTTGCTAGATGTCCCAGGTGTAGCAGGTAGCACAAAGACTGTAGGAGTTGTAGGTATTCTTAGACATTAAAGGTAAAGGCTATAGATCTACAGGTTCTGCAGCCAAACTCAGCTTCTCTCAGCTGAGAGAACTCAGCTCTCAGCAAATAAGTCATGTTTGATTTAGCCCTTGCTAATAAACTAGGTTAGAGAACAAAACAGCTGCTGTGACAAGGAACCTCTCTTGGTTCCAGCTCCCAAATGAGTTCCGAGAAGTGCGACCATGAACTGTCACCCCGAACTGTGTGAATGCACTGGGTGTGAGGGGTAGCCTGAGCTTGGAACATAGTAAAATAGTTTGCTTCTAGGATTACTGTAATGTCTTGGTACCATGTTCAGAGAAAGCTCCTTCTAAAACTAATTGTCTTTTATATGGCCTATGTACAACTTTCTGTGATTGTATGCAAAATGCTGTTGAGCTGAAAAGCTTTTGAGGACATCTGAGGTGGGAGTACAAAATGCAGTGACTTAGACAATATGTAATGAAAGTAGGAAAATAATAGAAACAAAAGACCCACATCTCAAGATTGTGGTGGGGCTACTCCCCAGCAACTAGAAACCTGAGCTACCTAAGGCTGGTATATATCCAAAAACCTACAACTGAGATGGAGTTAAACAACAGAGAGATGTCAACAATCCTGTGGTGATTACAGGGTTGAACCATACTTTATGACTTGTTTGGCTTGTAACCACATTCCCAAGCTTTATTATCAGAACTAAAGCTCTTGATTGAACATTAACAAATATTCTTTTCTGTGCTTGCAACTGAGCCTCTCAATTGCTGGGGAGAAGATGAATAAGAGCAAAACCAGTGTACTGGGTGACTACTTTCACATCCCAAATCATCTGCTGGCTGGTGCTAACTTGGTCATCTCAGAGGCTGACATACAGTCAGCAAAAGGGCTTGCTTAAGTTTTGAGGAAGGAGATCCTTGTAACATGGCCAAACAAACGTCTCTTTTGAAAGCAGCAGACGATTTAGGGTCACACCCTTGTCTCCAGTGCACTCTTCCTCTCCCTAACTTCTGACAAGTCACATGCCTGTTACTGACTTACTAACAGTTTTCAGTTCAGTCTTAAATAAAGAAAAGATTAAAGGACAGGACAATAACTTCAATACATATACTTAATCACTGAAGCAGAGGATTTCCATCCTGAAAATGCAGTCCTCTACTTGTTTCCTATAAAATACAGTTTTGGGACTAGAGGCAAGAACATCTCTGAGGTTTTCCTCCTTTGTATGCCAGCTTTTGCAGGAGACTGACTGTGCACATTCTCTGTACATCTAAACTGCTTGCAGCCTGGCAGAACACACTGCTCAGAGCACCCTTAGGCTATCATTCCCCATACAAACATGTAGTCATTCACATTTGCTAAGTAATATGCACTGATTGAGGGCCATGGCCCCCAGAAACACATTTTCAAAGATGACACAAACCTGGGATCAGCTGCAAAGTTTTCCTTTGACTCTTGCTCTTTTCTTCCTTGAGAGAGTCCAATTATAAAGTACTTGTCTCTGACAACAGGGAAATCATCTAAGAGGCTTCTTAGGCTATTGTAGAACGCAATGAGCTGACCTCGCAGGGCGTGCTGGGACACACGCTGATTCATCCTAAAAAGGTGTAACATATGATTAAAATACACAGTATTGTGCAGGGCATCACCTTCCCAAATAAGTACTGTCTTTGTTGAACCTAACACCTTTCTGTAAGGACATCCCTTACAACTTCTCTGCTAAAAATTACAGCCTATGTTTCTTCCATAGTAAGAAAACTAGAGGGATAAAAATCAGTTTCTTCCATAGTGAGACAACTAAAGGGATAAAAATCACTAAAGTGGCATTTAGGACCCAAATAAAATTTTGGCTTGTCATCAGACTAATGTCTTTACAATGCTCTAGAAGCATCCACAAATTAATACGTCAACTGCTTTGTGGTAGCTATTGCTTACATAACAATAAGGAAGCTGAAGCAGGAAGGAGAAAAGCAATCTGATGAGTTAATTGCAGAACTGCAATTAGACGTTGTGACTCTGAGTCAGATTTCACAATCACTCAGGCAGCACTGAAAGCCCAGCCCTGGCTGAACACTACCTCCAGACTGACCTGATCAGCCTTACCTACATCTTGGATAAGCTGTACCAGGGTTGGAGGTGGCCTGCCCAGTTTGGTCCACGCTTGTGAAACCAAAGGGTGAGCTGCAGAATTTCCCTTTCCCATATTGTACAATTTTATTGTGCAATAGACATGTCTTACAAATCCAAGAGTCTACCTTATTTGCCAAACATACTGAAACAGCTGCCCTACTTGCAGCTTGTTCCAGGGCTCCTTGGAAAAACTCTATCTGAAACTCTACTTTCTTCCAAGTTGTTTTACAGAGCAGATGAAAATCACAGGACAGTACATCAACACTATTCCATTCTCTTATCCACTGTGGATAATTTTCATTAATTTTGACAATATTTCATGGCCTTTCTGCACTTGACTCACTCCTAGTAAACAGCCCCTTCCCTTCATAAAGAAAGTAAGTGGCATATTTCCTCCTCATCCAGCAATTCATCTTGTACTGCCTGTAACATGATCACTAAACACTCTAAGTGTTTTAATTTTCCTTAATTTGCAGAATGGCCTACAGGTCTATTCATAATATTCTGAAAAGAAAGTTCATATTATCCACATGAAACAGAAAGCCCCAGCACAAGAGTTATGTTTAAAACATGATGTGTTTGCATGGATATGTCTATACCAGATATAAATTGATTGTATGCTAGATATACAGTAATTTTCTATATCAGATATACTTACTTAAGGCAATATTCAGCAATAATGTCTCTTTTCAGTTGCAGAATTTCATCCTATAATGAGACAATATTTTCAAGTAGGACTTAGATGTGCTGGAAATCTAACAAAGCTCAAACTACTTGTTACATTACAACATTACAGATATCTCAGCATTATAATTCCAAAACTGCAAGGAGGATAAATGTTGAGAAATATTTCAACCAGAATGACAGATAAAGCCTACATTTAAGGCAGTCTTGTAAATAAATCCAGAATTATTTTATTCACGTCTGGTTTGCCTAATTTTGTTCAAAATTTGTGTAACATTTCCCAAAAGAGTTTGCAGCTACCAGTTATTTCCTCATACACACATCTTGCCTACCGAGTTGGCAAGGAGGTTGTGACAACATTGAACTTCTGTTGACATTCAAAGGTCTGTGCAGAGAGTTTGCTTTTTACTAACTATTAAGTTCTTAATGACCACATCTAATCTAATGTACTCAGCAAAAGATACAGAATCACAAGCAGCTTAATTCAGGATCCATGTATTCACCTTTATCTAGGCACTGGATAAAGAGTGCAAAAGGCCATATCTCTGCCTGTCATGGTATTTATATAATTTTCTATGACTCTCAATTTCTTCTAAAATAGAATGATTATTTTTAAAAAGCTGCTAGAAATAGTTATGGTAGTAAGCCTTCCTCATGCAGTGTCTGTCTCTAGTTAGAACCACTGTTGGGTGATTTGTGCATAAAAGCCAAGAACAGTTCTGTACCCAGTATAACTATAGTCACAGAATCACAGAATCATTGAATCACAGAATGGCCAGGGTTGGAAGGGACCTCAAGGATCATGAAGCTCCAACCCCCCTGCCACACGCAGGGCCACCAACCTCCCCATTTAACACCAGACCAGGCTGCCCAGGGCCCCATCCAACCTGGCCTTGAACACCTCCAGGGATGGAGCGTTCACAACCTCTATGGGCAGCCTGTTCCAGCACCTCACCACTCTGTAAAGAATTTCCCTGACATCCAACCTAAATCTCCCCTCCTTCAACTTAAAACCATTTCCCCTCATCCTGCAGTTACCAACCCTTTCAAAGAGTTGATTCCCCTCCCCTCTGTAGGCTCCCTTTAGGTATTGAAATGCTGCAATATTCAGAATTTGCTTCCTTATTATAGTCAGAGTTTCCCTCTTAATTAGTTTGGAAATAGTCTGTGAGCAAACCCTGCTAGTGACCACAGCCTTTAGTTAGCCATGTGACTGCAGACTGCTGTTGCTTTTCATGTACGTGTCTGTCACGAGCCCCACAGCCATACCCACGGGAGAGCATGAGGGAACAGCATAGCAGAAGAAGGTTCTCTTGAGTACCTTCCACCTTCCCTAAGTTGAGACCAGCCTACCGCTGAGGTAAAAATAAAGCATTTCTTAAATACACAAAAAATTTTCTCAGAAAGGGTGGTGAAGCAGTGGCACAGGCTGCCCAGGGAGGTGGTGAAGTCCCCATCCCTGAACGTGTTCAAGAAACATGTATATGTGGCACTCAGGGACACGGTTAGTGGGCACGATGGAGATGTGCTGGTGGAGGTTTTTTCCAACGTTAAGAATTCTATGATTCTGTGCAAATTTGCTATTTCCACCTCTACAATACAACTGCTGGGCTTTCTCCTCCACTTCCATGCAGCACATCTCAAAGCCACTCTCCATGGGCCTTCAAGTTACTCACTACTGATGCTGTGAGGCTGCAGCCCTGAGCCTGACCTGCACACCCTAACCATGTCCCAGCTTTGTAGCTTCCTCCTCCTCATCTACCATCACAAACTGTTCACCAGTGCTCAGATAGCCCACATGTACTTGGTCACTTGCAAGGTAGTTGTTGACCCCCAAAGCCGCTTCACAGAGAAAAAAATGGAACCCTGAAGACTTACAGAAGCTTTTCCTAGACTACACAGGCAGCTGCATTATGAGGCAGGTGATCACAATGGGGTGCTCTATGCTCAGAGGGGTGCCTTAACAGAATATCTTCCTCATTAAAGCTCAGAGTAAGTATAGTGCAATCTCAAAGGTAATGCTTTGCCTTTGCACCGGGAATCAGCAATCTCCCTCAAAAAGGCTAAGTCTCTGTAAGTCTCTTGAGGTACTTACAGGGTTTTGCATTCTGCTGCCCAGCATTTCTTTCTTACGGATGAAAGTGTTCAGCATCATATCTCGGGGCCCTTGTTTCTCCAGCTGAATGGAAACAAAAGCTTCTGGAGGCCTGACAAGGGAAAAAGAGCATAAGACCTCAGAAGAATCCCCTCTCAAAAGGTTCCTAAGCGCCACTTGAACTGCTCAAATGACTTAGCTAAATCAAACACAATTTCTCCAACATTATGCATTTTACTAGCTAGTTATACATAATAGAAATAAATGCACAAGATTTTCTGGAGCAGCTACCAGAGACAAGATGAACCCTGGGGTGAGTAGGTGGGCACATGAACATGAAGACCAGTCTCTGCTCTACAGGAGAAGTGGCACAATATTAATAACAGGTTATCTCTACAGGATCTGATGTCTGATGCCTGAGTCCCATTGATAGGGTACGGCTAAAGGATCATAATGGTCAGACTGGTCCACACCAAGAAGTGGGGTGCCTAGGACTGTGTCCTTGTGATTGAAAGTACATCATTACATTTTATTACTGCCAAGGACCAGTGGAATGTAAAGCAGGATGTGCTCTGGATTCGCACATACACCAGACCAACCCCTATCAGTGGTAGGGCTTGGCCAGTCTGTAACAAATACCTGTGAAAGGCTCGGTGCAAATATGAAGAACGCCCAGGAGAAAATGATGTGGCTGGCATGGTTGCTGGCAGAAGCTGATCCTCTGTTTGGCTTCCAGATACAGAATTTTTTCCACTAGCTGAACTGCTCTGACTTGTTAGACTTACATTTCCTTCCTAAAATATCAAGAATATAAATGTTGTGCTTGCTCTCATAAAGAATGGCAGCTCTTCAAGGTAGATTTGCAATGCTGCATGCTCTAATTTACTCTAACTTTATGGTATAATAACTCACTGGGATCACTGAAAGTCACAGAAGAGAAACATTTCTCATGGAACACAGGCATAATGAAGCTGTAGAGGCACACAGTTAGAGGCAGTGCTCTATTTATAAATCAGACAACATTCTTGACACCCAATCAGCTACAAATAAAATATGAATACTCCTAAATATTTGCTTTTTCAAAGATGTACAAATAGTTCCATACCCACACTGCTTGTAGGGGAAATGATTTTGCTTCCCCTTGAGCATTCCCAATAGATCCTGTTATGAAGGAAACTAAGAAAATTCTGCATATTTATGAAAAAAAAACCCAAAACCACGATTCTAATATTCAAGAAGGAACAAGTGGTACTTTTCTAAGTGTCTGATTTCAAAATTGGCACAGCATGGTCCAGATTTCTCTGGTTTTCCTATTTGTTGCAAAGAAGCTAAAAAAACACACTTCCCCTGCAAGTCAAGAAAAACTATAGTCTTGTGAGTAGGGAGAAACCAGAAGAAAGAAAAGCACAAGCCACATGTTGATAGTGAGTTTATTGAGTCCCTTCTCCTAACTACTACCCTAACTCACAGTAATGCCAGTCTGCAGATGGGTCTGATGAAGAACACCTTGGCTCTGTTCTAGCAGAAAACTGACTTCTTACCCGAAGAATGATTCTTCCCGCTTCACTGTGCAGAGGGAATATCCAACGTGCCTTAGAAATAAATGGACAGACATGTGCAGTGTCATTTCTGACAAAAGAAGCAAGGATTGATTTAGGAAGGAAACCAAGGTTGGAGCTGTTCAGTTCCACAGAACATTTCAGTGCCACAAGATCTGGTCAGAAATTAACCAGAAAATCTCACACTTGAGAGGGAATGGAAACCAGGGACCAACAAGACCATGGGCTCTTCAGTCCAACGAGCTGGTCCAAAAAAGCCCTGGGAGGCTGCACAGCCAGCTACTCCAGGGATGTATTCTGGGTGCTGCCCAGATTTCCACAAGATCAGTCTGTTGTGTAAAGCATTCCTGCTCAGCAACATGGAGACAGCTTTGCCAGCATCATACTGAGCAGTTTTCTGGGCAGCCATCAAGACCTCAGCTTGTTTGGGATGATGGATCTCTGCTGCATAACGAGGAGCCACTGACCTCCTTTGTGTTAGCACAGGATACAAACTATGCAGCCATGAAGCAACTTTGTTTCAAGAAGCTTAACATCTCTGGGGTGAGTTTTAGCCTTAGGAGCACTTTCACTTGTAAGGAAAGAAAATATAATGAAACTGTACACTATGCATTTCTCTAGGAATGGCAGTTCATGCTCAGGAGCTTGCAAGTAACAATAGCATAATACATCTTTTCCTTTTCTCTGCTCACACTGCTCTGAATGACTCAAAATGAGACAACTGGGAGCCAAGATAAAGTATATTTGTCCTTTTTAAACTTACTGAGAAACTAGTCACATGGGAAATGTTTTAGCTTGGTTGCCTTAGCCTATTCAGCATATCTCTAACAACTTTTGAACCCTCTGCCTAATTTTAAATACATTTGATGGAAGAAGTCTGAATGGTGTAAAGTTCCTTCCACTTTTGCATAACCAATATCCAGTTAGAGAGGAACCATCCTTCCCCTGGAAAAGGCAAGGAGAGTTTGATTGCTTGCCATCTTACTTGGCCTGCTCAGCTCCCACTGGGTTTCTGGCAGTCAGCATGTATCTGTATACATGCTGATACAAACTTGCCAAAAACAAAGCACTTCTTGCCCAGCTATCCAGCAAATGCAGGCACTACTTATATAAAGAATAGGGCTGAGGATACTGCTAGGTGACAAGGGACCATATGGATGCAAGACAAGACAGGACTAAGGGAGTGTGTCCTAAGGAGCATGGAAAGGGATGTCAATGTAAGCACAGAAAAGGCAAGAGAAGACTAAAGAATCTCTGTTTGCCTTAGAAGTTCAAAACTACATACAAATTTGCTTAGCTCATCACTGTAATAGCTATCTCTGAAAGAGAAATGCCTACATAAAAAAATGCACCACAGAGCTGTACATCAATGCATCATGTGTGAAGCAAGGGCAGCACCTGAGCTTCACATAAGAAACATAAAATGATGCCTAATACAAGATGAGGAAGATTAATGGCTGGTGACCCAGCAGATTTCTTTTAAACCAACATTATAGCATCAGGCTGGCATAAATATTTCCCATTTGAAAAAGTGCTGACCATATTTCTATTTTCAGAAAACAGGAAAAATGCAAACAGCAGGAGATGATGGTATCATACCATCCCAGAAAAGTACATATTTCAAGGTCAAATTGTGATTGCTAGCCTTTCTGCATATTACAAGTTATGAGATTCAATCAATGCATTTTGAATTCAATTCATCTCCAATCTCTTTCAGACCTACCTTGAGGTATATTTTTAGCTATGCTTCATCACTTACCCAACTAATAGACTTTAAATAAAGTCACTGATGTGATACCATTTATTTTTATGTCGTATGCTAATAGACAATCACAGCAGTTCCTTCAGTCATCGGTGATGCTGTTCTGAGTGTCGCACAGGATCACCACGCAATTGATTATAAGCAGGATTAACAGGTGCCTTCTTTGGGCTAAGTTTGACAAAACTCGTTAATAGTGCAGTTTGAGGAGGAGGGTGTTAATCACTAACCTTTATGTCCAGGGAATGGGTAAACTGGACCAGGTAACAAAAGGACGCTTGCTGAACAGCTGCCAAAAGAGCATTTTTCTGAATGACCTGGCAGGCAAGGATAAGTTGCATGTTCTTTATTCCAGATGGACACAAGAGCTAAGGAGAGTGAAAACAAAAAATATCTTCATTTTATGCATGAAGTATTTATTAGGCATTGCCTCTACAGTTTTGAAGGAAAGTTGCTTTACAGACATCACTTTGTTTTGGATTACTTCAGCTTAATTTAGTAAAATGAAGGGGAGAAAGGGAGAACATTCTATTATATTTGTATATGTAGTTATCACTGAAACATGACCAAATGCAGAGACTGAGAAAACAGTTAAATCACTTGTATTTAGTAGGCTATATTCTCAGATCTCCTCTGCAAATCATGATGTTACCAGAGCATGCAGTAAATGCAGACAGGCTGGCAAAGGAGTAGATAGTAAATAAAACAGATCTGATTCTCACACAGAACGGCAGGGTTGGAAGGGACCTCAAGAATCATGAAGCTCCAACCCCCCTGCCACATGCAGGGCCACCAATCTCCCCATTTAATACTAGACCAGGCTGCCCAGGGCCCCATCCAATCTGGCCTTGAACACCTCCAGAGACCGGGCATCCACAACCTCTCTGGGCAGCCTGTTCCAGCACCTCACCACTCTCCCTGTAAAGAACTTAATTTTCCTTGGTAAATTTGTAATTACATGCTGTAGAATACAGGTAATGAGTGAGTTAATGGAAAGAAAATTTTGAGGAGAGTTTTAAAGAATCATTGAATTTTTATAGAATCATTACAGTTGAAATACATCTGGTCCAACTGCCAATCACTTCCACCATGCCCACTAACCATGCCCCTCAGTACTGCATTTAGATGTTTCTTCAAAACCTACAGGGATGGCGATTCCATCGCCTCCCTGGGCAGAAAAAGAAAGCTCCATGGCGTGGCACCGTGCAATACTGGTTTTACACATTCATACAGTAGAGGAAAGGATTAAGTATACAAGATGGTATTGAAGGCTAAAGTCATTTTCTTCCTTTAGAGAACTCTCTACATCTAGTCAATGTCTACCGTGTGTGCGCATAGCCACACACATCCATCCTGCTTTCTTTAATAAATTTCCTCAGACAAAACTTTGTTGACTTAATGAGTTTAACCTCAGCAAGGATTCCTGTATTAAGCCACACTAAAATCACTTTACAAAACAGTATTTTCATTCAAAAACCAAGTGTAGAGAATTTTATCTAGCATCTAGCAAACACATGACTGAGGCCGTTATCTACCCAGTAAATAAATGACAACATAATACATATTTGTTGCTTATTCTGCAAATTAATCCATTCACCTGCATAACACCATGTCTTGTCCTGAAACTAAATTTTCCAACGTGAGTGTCGATCTCTTGAATGCTTAATGGTAAGCTACTTGGAATATATCTGCAATAGAAGATTTCTTATAAACACAAAGTATGACACAGAAAGAAGCCAAATTGAAATGAAGCCAAAGTGAAATGAAAATAGTGATTAGTTCAGAAATACTTTCCGTTTATTTACCCTTTACATTTAGATTACATAAGGAAATCTGTTACTCTAGTTCCTAAATAGGTGATCTTAGAATGTTGCTTTACTTTTTGGAAGTAGTTTTGTAAGAAAAAGACTAACCCACGATGTTTTGTGGTTTACGATGATTCTTCAGCTTCTCCTAGATAATCCTGGTCTAAACCATTGAAAAATCTGCTTGTTTATTGTGCTGATATCTTGTTGGTCTTCCATTGGTTCCTAACTCTTTTTTGTGCTGTCCTATCTCCTGTACTCTTATGTCCACCACTGCCCACAGTGCAATTCACAGCTGAAATTTCATTCCAGGTTGCTTGCAATTGCTAAACTAACTTGAAATCTGCAGAAACAGATTTCTGCAGCAAGTAAGCATGTATGCAAGTGAAAGGGAAGCAAGTAATAGCACACGACTGCAAGTGGTACACACAAAGTTAAAAAGAGAGCCCTTGTACCTATGTTAGGAAATGACAGGAATATCCTTCCTAAATTTAGTAAGAAAATTCACAGGTTGTTGCCTTTCTTCATCTTAAAGATTGGTCTAAAACACACACAGATAAACAAAGTGTGTATGTGTAAATACAAACATGTGTATATTGTGTATGTACATGTATTTGCTATACACAAATACACATATATGTAAATACAAACATACATATGAACTCTTTAAAGAGTAAAGATGGCCTGTTGTGCATCCTCTGCTTTGAAGAGAATGCATTTCAGTTCCAAAATTGCCACAGTTGCATGCAAATTCAGTGCCACCTTGCTTTCACTGCTAAATGGCTTCAAATTAGAAGTATTTGATCTCAAACTCTACAGAAAAAGAAATCACGTAGCATTTTACATTTCTTACTTGAATAATTGTGTATGTTTTATGCATGGAAGTTTTTATATTTTAGCCTAATCTATTTGAAGACTTGATCACATCCAATCTAGAAAAGACTATGTTCTCTGAAACACAAAGAAGTTCAGTCTACCTGTCAACACAGCTGTCATCTTCCAGGAGAGAGGTAATAAATGTCGGTGGCAGATGGTCTGCTTTCTCCCTGTGAAGAGCAGATTCAAATTGCACTGGCCTCAGATACAAATGGAACTCCCCAAAACCTGCTTCCATTGCAAAAGCCTTATATAAGCTAGAAAGGGAAAAAAAAAAAAAAAACAAACCAAAAACAAGCAACAAAACCACACAAAAACATGGATGCATTTCAAAAACAAATTTTCTCTCTGTTTAAGTAATGTTCGCTTAGAAATCTACATCCAGAAGGTTCATTTCAAGAAGAAATCTGCATCCAACTTTAAACATTTATTGTCGTCTCAAGTGTTACGGCAAATGAGCATTCCACCCTGAGAGCTGATTTTTGTTTAGTATTGACAGTTCACTCAGCATAGATTGAACTACAGAGTTATATATATGAACTTGGAGTTACAAACAAAGGACAGTAAGTCAAGAGTTTATGACATTACATAGAAAAATCAAGGAAAAGGTGCTAAATGTTCTATTTAGAAGGGATTGACAGAGGGGAAGACAGCTTTAGGCTAGGAACTAGAAGGAGGGCAGATTGCAAAAGAAGTTTCATAGCCAAGCAGAACTCAGACATGTTATTACTATGAAAATAGTAATTTTGTAACTTAAGAGAGCTTTATTCTCAGTGTGACACAGTCCCAGCAGTATCTCTGCAGTACAGCAAAAGACCAGGACAGTCGACCAGCAGTAAACACACTGTCTAGATGCAACAAGTAGTTCAGGAGGACTCTAAAGCCCCAGGTGCCTGAAGTTGGACATAGTCTATACTCCCTCCCTAGGGATCTATCAGTCTCTTCCTTCAGATGCAAAACCACAAAAACACAGAAAATCTGATCTGTGATCCTTCTTTTCATATAGTATAAGAAGATGTTATAAAGAGAAAATTTCTTTTTGAAACAGACTGCGAAGAAATAAGATAATCCCTTGCTTCCTGCTAACATCTACAGGCAGGTGTTTTATCAATCAAGAAAACATGTCAAAGAGAAGTTAAGGTGTGAGAACGTGATAAAGACACAAATAGGACCCAGAAGTCACAGTTCCCAGTTCTTTAAAAATATGTAGAATTCTCTGCCTGCAAAGTTACAGAAAGAAAAGGGCAGAAGACAAAACAGGATATGGAGGACACCATGAACATCAATCCATAATTATACAAATCAGCTCTAAGGTTGAATAAAACCCTCTGTAATGACTACAAATGCTGATCTCACAGGTAACAAAATACAAATGCATGGATAGCCTTTACAGCACAAACAGCAATACACAGATAAGCTTACTAGTACTGTGCAAAGGAAAAAAAATAGAGAAAAAGGAAGGATATCAAAAAGGTGAATATATTCAAAAAAAAGAGAGAGAGAGAGAGAGAGAGAAGCAAAATTCACACTAAATTGGCATTGTTTAGTTGTACCAAAGCATGTCCTTTTTCTTTTCACTAGATAATCAAAGGGGAAGATTGAAAGACTGAGGAACAAAGGAGCAACAAGGGCTATTAGGAATAGTGCATACAACTTAAATATGTTTTTATAGACAGAAAGGAACTTCAGGAATGAACAGATAGGCAAGTGATGGGAGTAATTCTTGCAAATCTCCCAAAAGTCTGGTAGAACCTATAGTATGAGACAGAGGAATCTATAAACGTATGTGCACTCATTTCATGTTGCTCTGCACAGCAGGAAGAAAGATTACCAGCCTTTCTGATGCTTCAGTCTGAATCTGAGTTGATATTATAATGAACAGTGAATTTCATAATATCATGTGAGGGTGTAAAAATAGCCCCTCAAAATGTCACCCTGAATAAACTATGTATGTTTATACTGATATTTAGGCTGACTTAATCATCTTCTATTAAATGAAGATAGTGTTATGCTTAATGACCTTGCATATGCATTGTGAAGTCTTACTTTCTGACATAACTTTCTACTGAATTCCCATCCTTTGCCAGAAAAAAAAGACAATTTCCTGCTGCCTTTCAGGGAATTCTAAGTATGTCACCTCAGTAGGTATTAGCCTTCTTCACAAAACAAATGCAGCCACATAACCAATCCGTCAGCTCATCTATCTCCTCTAGATAACTTCTAAATCAGTTGGTGAGCACCAATGAAATCTGACATGGAGAGAGGGCTTTTGAAATATTCAGTTCTTATAGGCTTCAAGAAAAAAAGGTGATTTTATATTGATTTTTCAGCTAAATGAAAAGTTGCACTATAACCTTACTCCTTGTTAATTACCAGAAAATTTATGTGAGAGCATGTATGAGTATTGGAACACAGAGATAACCAAAGCAGAGTAATAAGTTTAATTAGAATTAGACCTCATTATGACCTTCCAATCTTTAAAGGGAGATTACAAACAGGAGGGAAATAAATTTTTTACATGGGTAGATAGTAATAGGACAAGGGGGAATGGTTTTAAACTAAAGGAAGGGAGATTTACATTAGATGTCAGGGGGAAGCTTTTCACTCAGAGAGTGGTGAGGTGTTGGGACAGGTTGCCAAGACAGGCTGCGGATGCCCTGCCCCTAGAGGTGTTCAAGGCCAGTTTGAATGGGGCCCTGGCCAATCTAATCATGGCAGGGGATTGGACTTTGATGATCCTTGAGTTCCCTTCCTACCCAACCTATTCTATGATATGATTCTATGATTTTATGATACATCTAGGTTTTTAGCTGCTGAAAATAAATGCTTCTGACTTTTTTAATTTGGAGTTCACATTTTACAGAGGAAAGCTGGATAAAGAGTTGTTACAAGGGGAAAATATGGCTGAAGGGTCATCTGTCCAAAATGCACAACTTTGCTATTGCATGAAATCATGACAAATACTTTCATACATGAATTAAGCTACATTTTAAAATTATGTTCATTTTCTTCCCTCTGCTCTTTATGTTCCAGAACTTTTTTTTGTCTGATTCTTAGAAATCTCCTTTTAATTTTTAGTTTAAATTTATTCACAGTGATTAGCTCCATTTGTTCTGCTGCCAAAATTGCCCCTAAATAGCTGTTCTCCATTCCCAATGCTTATCTTCCCAATGTATTTATAGAGAACAATCATATCTTCTCTCAGACTTCATTATGCTAGGACAAACAAGCCAAGATACTTCATTTACTTCTGTAAAATGCATTCTCTATTTCCCCTCATCATTCTATTAGATCATTTCTGCTTCCATTCCATTCTGCATTTATCTTTCCTGAAGATAAATCTCTAAACTATACTTAATAATCCGGGTGAAGCCTCGCCAGAATCACATAAAAGGCATCAGTTCTGATCTCCATGGAAAACAAAACTCATTGCCTGATTCACAGTAGGATATCGTGACTTCCTCCCCCATCACGGTTGCAATATGTAGTTATTCAATTGCCAGCTATACACCCAGTTCTTCCTCCTCCTGTTTCCAAAGAAGTTTACAGAATTGCCTATTATTATGCATAGCCCTAAGCTTTGTGTTAGTGATGTTTATCTCCTTCCTGCTACTTCATACCTTAGAACTACGCGTTCTTTCTAATATCTTTCTAAGATATTTCATTTATTTTCTGTATCAGTTTTATCTTCCACCACTCTAATGTCCTGATTGTAATAACATGCCCTTATACTTTCTACTTAACTCATTAATAAAAATGTGAGATAATATGCAGCTGAGCAAGGAGAACTTCAGTAACAACTTGCATCCAAGACAGCAGGTCAACACTATCCTGCAGAGGATAGATCTCCCCTTTAGCTCAGTCCTTATCTTCCTTGTTTCTCTTTACAAATGTCATTTTCTCCAGCTTACATGACAATTTCCTTAATTCATGACACTGATTTCCTTTGTGTAGAATATTTTACTTTGTCCTCTGCAAGGATCAGTACATCCAGGACAATCTTTATGCTTTCCTATTTCTGGTAGTGAACAAAGCTTATATGCACTTCCTGTGTGATTTTTGTTATATTCTAATACTGTTCATAAGAAGGTGATTGAGGCAATCTTCACTGAACCAGCAGATTCCTCCTGCTGCTCCATCTTTTGACAAAATTTCATTGAATCACAGAATTCCCATTTTCACTGGGCAAAGGGCCTGTTCTGTTAAGCCTTGATTTGTCTCTCAGCTTATGAAACTAATAAACACCTTGCAAACCCCAGATAGACTCTTTCCACATATTGGATAAAAATATTTCCCACAACACAAATGCATGTGCTCTCTCTCTGACTTTTTCCAACTATACTAACTAACCAATTTGAAAGGATTTACTTTTCCCCTCCAAACTGCCTCTCTCAAGTCCTCATAGCTAAACCTGCACTGTCAATCCACCAACCTGGCTAACTGTGAGCTCTCTGTTGCCACCTCAATCAACCGATGCCGGAGCGTGATCAGTTCCAGGAGCAAAGAGAATGAATCCAGGATAAAGAGTTGCCTTTCTCTCCCTTCTTTTCTTTCTTCATCTGCTCTCTCCTCTAATAGTGACAAAGCAATGTCTTGTACCAGCACAGGGTCCTCTATGAGTATCTCTGCAAACAACTGGAAGGTAAGTGAAAAAAAATGTTAATGCAAGTGTAATTCATACGAAGACAACAAAAGGCCTTCGAATATTTTTTCTGGAGTAAATCGTGATTGGAATTGCTTCTAACAGGCAACACATGCAAGGTCAGGACTGGGTCCACTCTGACCTCTGAAAATATACTGGAGTTTTGGCACTTGCTTCAAAGGTACAGTCATTGAATTCATAAACTTTACTTTCTTCAAAGGACTTTCCAATTCCTGGAATACACGATATTTGCCCTTTTTTTATTTTAATAAAAATTCAGAAGACTTTCAGAGGTATGCATCCTTCTAAGGCAGGGGTTCTGTGACTGGGTTCACATTACTATGTGCTGCTATTCCTCTCACAATGAGCGTGTACTTGTACATATGTACAAGCATGATGATCCCAAAATGGGGGCAGCAACTCATCTAGACTACTGGAATGGTGGAAGGACCCAAAGGAGCAGCAATATCAGGAATGGAATATGATGAAAAGCTACAGCTTGGTAATGTGGAGAGCCAGAAAGAAGAAAATGGCTGTTGTGCTTTGGAAGAAGTGGCAGAAACAGCTTTTGGCTCTTTGTGAAGAAAAAGATGCTCTGTCTCCAGCTGTCACAATTTGCACAACCATGCCACCCTGCTTCTGTCAGGCAGATTGTCATGGCCACTGCTGTAACTGAATGGATTCATGCTTTGCCATCTGTGATGAGTGAATCACAGAACATGAGTAAATCTGAAGCCAGACGTGCTGTTATTAGTAATAAATTCTAGATTTCAACACCTGCCATTTACTAAATCTTAAGGGCTACACTGGAAAAAAACATTTTGAAATGACCACAACCCAAAGACAAGTGTCAGAAATTGTGCAACATTTTTCAGTTTGTCCCTCTTCCCCAACGTGCTTTTGTAACTGTGACTCTGGATAGGTGGGACACAGCAACCTATGTGCTTCCTCCCAGAGCTGCTATAAAAACCATGCTCCCATTTCCAGAGAGAGCAAGAGCAAATAAGCTTAGATTCCACTAAAGCAAATCTATGCTAGACTTTAAAGAGAACTTGGTGATGCTGGTGAAGCATGAGAATAGGCCAGTTGGATGAGTCTATCAAATGGTGTGTTTATGAACAGAACAGCTCTTGATCTCATAGAATAATCTGAGTTGGAATCGTTTGATTGGAAGGGACCTTTAAAGGCCACCTCGTCCAACTTCCCTACAATGAACAGGGTGAACAATGATCTACAGCTAGATCAGGCTGCTCAGAGCCCCAACCAGCCTGATCTTGAATGTCTCCAGGGACAGGGCTTCCACCCCCTCTCCGGGCAACCTCTTCTGAATAGCTGATCATGGCTTGGGTAAGCGAAACATCTCTCATCTTCCCAAGTACATGTTGCAAGCCCTGCAGCATCTGTATCTTGCAGCTAGGTAACTTGTTTATTACGAAGTTGAAAGACGTTTAGGAAGTCAAATGGGGAATACATATTGGATCTTGTAAAACCTTCTTCAGTGAAAAGTTGGAAAAACATGAAAGAATACGGTCAAGGGTCACAAATGGAGCAGTTCAGGAAGGTCAGAAATGTTTATTTTGTAAAAATGAGCCAAAAAAAAACCCAGTGTGATAATACAGAGACTCACTCATCATGACTGCAAATGGAAACCAAACTAAATTCATGCTGGCAAAGGTAAATTTCCTAAAATATGCTTGACTGCAACAGTATTAGTGTTTTCTAAACATTGCCTTCTTGTGTGCATTCTTCTCATCCACAGCTTGTCTTAGAGAAAAGGAATGGAAAAGAAGTTTCTCTTTCTGCCTTGGCAATAGCAGAGCAGTAACTTTAAGATCTATACATAGATCTCTGCCACTGATTTCTAGGATTCGAAACTAAAAAAAAAAAAAAAAAGAATCATTTGTCATCTGCAATGTGCAGGAGGACTGGAGAACTGCCAGAGGACTTTATTGGCATCAAACAGATGCTGGATAAGAAATTCTTGGGATTTGTACAATGGCAGGGCAAGAAACTATCTGAAATAGCTACGCCCTTCTACCTTGCATTGGTCTCTATTTTCTTGCCCACCACTGCCTCCACTGCAGGTAATGTGACAGTGAGAGCGAGTAGCTCCTTGTGCCCACTTCAAGTGCTCAGATCCAAATCAAACACAAACTGCTTAGTCCAGAGATATTTCTGCAGTAACATTGGTTCTGATTTGATTCATGTTACAGATACACCAGTGCACACAAACTTCACATCTTGTCTTCCAATTGAATATGGTGCAATTGCATGTTTTCTGGTGCAATTGCATATTTTCATTTAATTTATGTTGGCCAAACTTGGCAGGAATTAAAGCGTAGCATATCAGTACCTAATGAGCCTTTCCAAAATTTAGTGATGTGCTCAAGAACGTAACTATATTATGAACTTGAAGACAAAAGAGATAAATTCATTTATTTTTCATTTCTTGCTGTCAGCATTAACTAAGCTGGCTAAAATAATAATAAAAATACAAAAAACAACCTGATGGAGACATCTAGCATCAGTAATTTCATTCACAATAATTAGTATTTATAAAACTATAACCAGCCAAGTTAAGAGTCTTACATCAGGAAATGATGCACATTATAGTAATAACCAGCTCCACCTATAACAATATTTGCTTTAATGTCCAGTCTTTTTTGTTACTGATGTTTAAGAACTGTATATACACAAATGCAAAACCTGGAGACTTACTGTGATCTCATCCTGCTTTAAAATGTCTGTATTTAGCCTCTCCCTAATATGACTGCCCTTATTTTATACTAGTGTGAGATCAAGAGTTCTACCTATCTGTGTTCTTTCACAGAAATACAGACATATTTTATTTTAAAGGTGGATGGTACGGATCTTCTCCAAGCTTGAAAAAAATAACTGGCCTGATATTAAGAATCAGATACCTAATACTAACCATGAAGTATATCAGATGAACATCAATTGAACTGGGCTGGGATTTGGCTGTAAACAGCTACTTCCAACACAAGCAAAAGTGAAACTTACATCTTTTTGAATCTGAGAGCTGTAGAAAGATTCTGGTTTTTCCATAGTCAGCCATTCATCAAGTATCAGTTGAAGCACTTTTTTTTCTAGCTTAATTGCTCTACTGGCTGTTTTGGGTCTAGAGATGCTGTAGAACTCCTGATAGATACACTCCAGAGCCTTGGGGATCGAGCACACCAGACCAAGAGAAGGATGAAACTCCAGCAAATAAATATTCTTCGAAGCAGCACTTAAAAATAACAAAAAGAACAAAGCTCTCGAATAAGGAAACTCTGAAATTGCTTAATTGGCAAGAATAAATTGCAATGGCTTTAGCTGTAGATCAGAAATCAATCTTCAAATCTAAAAATAGAGCTGAAGCCTTAATAAACATAATTATGTTGGAACACATTTAAGTAGTCTCAATTGCTAATGAAAACAGAATGTTCTAAATTATCTTTTGCTAGCTGATCTGCTTTATTAGCCACATTTTCATGTCTGTTAGCCACATTCTCATGTCATGCCCACCCATTAAAAGTGTCTGCACTTCAAAATTAGCCCTTGAGTAACCAACACAATCAAAATGTGCGTGCAGTAGGAGGAATAGAGGCAAGGGGATTCAGACAGAGGACCAGAGGCTGGGTTGGCTTCTGGGTATGTATCAGCTGCTAAATCCTTCATATAATCCACAATGTTGCATAGCTGCAGGAGGGGGAACATAGCACAGGTCTATGTTATGGGTAATAGATGGCTCTCATGTGAAATACAGTATGTACCTATCCAACTGGACACTTGGGTGAGAATGTGTAACAGGCGGTGGCAAGAAGGCAGTGTAAACTGAAAAGCCATGTTTGAATATCAAGGCAGTAAGTCCAAAGCAAGGCTAAAGTTAAACATGCACTTTCACAGTTACTTTATCCACAGGAATATTAATTTCCCACTGTGGTGCAAGATGAATTAAGCAAACCCACTGTCAAAGCAGGGAAGAGCAAAGACGGTGGGGGAGGAATCACTTTTCTTTCTTGAATGTTTTTCTGGCACATCCAATGGTATTCTAAATAGCACAAGACTAAATAACATGAAATATTACTGCCTAATTCACCTCATGACTGTTGTTTTCTCAAATAGTCTTACTTTTCATGTGTTAGCCCACAATTCTTTTCATCAGTCACAGAAACTAGATCAGAAAGAGTTACTCTCCAGAAAAATAAAAGCATGAAGTCACTCACCAGCTAGTGTTAAGAGAGACAAGTTGCTTAGTGATCACATTAGGAGGAAGTCCAAATTCATTGATGCCACCTTTCTGACCTCTCTGCCAAATCTTGGGGACGTATTCCCTCTGGACATCTATCTAAAAGTTAGCAATAAACACAAATGATATTAGCCAAGAAAACCCAACATCCAATCAGGCATCCTGATTTCTACTCTTCATTTACAAGCTATAAAAACTTATACATAATAAATTTATTGTTTTATTTTTATATTATATATATGTTAAAAATTATCATTTCAAGTTGTTCGTATAAATACCCACTCGAGCTGAGTTATTCCTTCTAAAATTATTTTGAAATCTTTCATATTTTTCCTAAACAAACGTAGAGCACCAGTGATGCTGACAACCTTCTAATTCTAAAAGCTACCAATATGGCATCATTCATGGCAACAATAGCTTAACAGTGGTCTCTTGTACTGAAATAAAAACTTCCATTTGTAAACCAAAAGATATGTCACAAAGGATAACTTATTAAACTTCTGAACTAGAAACTCAAAGAAGTGAAGTACCTTGTGTCAGGATACAGAGGAAGCTTAAGCAGATTTTAAATGAGAATTAAAATCTGAGAGTTTAAAATGCTGTATCTTAATTATTAGCAAAAGAAATCCCAGCTATCTGAAATATACTGCATTTTAGACTTCAAAGTGCAAATTTTGTTTGTATGTTCTTTGTGAGATCAGACAATGGACTCTAAACAAGACTCTTTTCTTATCCACTGCATTACAGATCTACGCATTATAATTTTGTCCTGCTTCCGCACCTCTCAACTACTGTTTCCACCTATCTCAGCTGATAGCAGATGTGACTTTAATGTGACACATGAAGCTCTGAAACCTTTCCAGCGCTCTCTTTCTGATACTGATGAAATCATAGCTTTCAACTTTCAATTTTTTTATTTCAATTTACAAAGCATGCATAGACTTCACTATCAAACTAGTAGTAACTGAAGTTGGCACTGTAAAGCAGCGCAGGCTACAACCAAAGTTTCACCTCCCGCTCGCCCAAGATGGATATACTGTAAATTCAACATACTTGTTGGTTTACTATGTCCCTCAGCAGCTGGGCTTGAAGTTGTAAACAGATGCATTCATCTCTGTAGATGTTCACAAAATATTCAAGCTCAAGATCAAACCGTGGATGTTTATGCATGATGTCAGTTATTGCTTGGGCCAAAGCAAATCTTTCCTCTGGGTCCAAAGCATGTTGGTAGGCCTCTAAGTAAACATCTAGAAGCTGGGGAGATATTCAGAAACACATTTAGAATTGTTTATTCATCCAAATATTCATTTCATTTTGGCAAAACATTTCTGAACATGGAAGTTGCCACCTGTATGAAACTTACTGTGACCTACCATCATGGCATCTGGTTTTTGGCACAGAATATCATAAGACACTTCATCAGAAGGATCAGAAACAGAGCATAGAATGCATAGAATATCTCCTGTCTGCAGGAAATATTTTATTTACACCTTGCCTTGTTATGTTTTTTACTGAAGCATGAAGATTTTTATTCTATATATTCTTCCTCTTGTAAAATAGCAAGTAGCAGATTACTACTTAAAAAGCACCTACCATTTTCCAGATCTAATTCATGCTCTTTTTCTTCTCCAGCCCACACATTGTTGTCATGTCTTTGAAAAAGTTTCCCCTAACCTGAAACTTGCAGATTCATGCAAGACTCTCTGTTATCTCATATAGCAATTAGCATCTCAGTTAATCATATATTTTTTGAGAAATTCCAATTAATTCAATATGTAATTAAAGATGCAGAAAGTCACATGCCCTCTCCAGACTCCTCTACCAAGAACAGTTGTAAAGCTTTATTGAACTAATGATTTTAATTACAAATTCCCAAAGCCTGGGATGGAAAAAGTGAAGTGTCAAGCACAGCAGCACCTAAATTCTCACTGCAGTACTTTTTGGTCAATAGCAACTATGAGATAGAAAATATGAACTGGGGTTACTATTGCTTTTGGACAAATTGGTCATATCAATATGAAATGATCTGCAGTAGGTTATTTTGCATTGACACAGAAGTAGAAACTTATCCACGCTACTTTCCATGCTGAACCCAGGAAATTGTGGAAGAGGAAGTTGCAAAAGGGCTCAGAAATAACTCGGTAGATAAAAATGCAGATTTCAATGGAAGAAGACAAGTTCTCTGGTTTAGACCTGTCTGAACTGAACTGTTTGGAGGAGGTTAATACAGTGCTTGAGCAATACGTCATAGACAAGTTTTATATTGGCTAAGCCAAGCTGTCTCAGCTGCTAACAAAAGGCTTTTGTTTTCTCACACAGAAATAATTTTGTCCCAGGTTGGAACAAAGCTAGAGAGACTCAATTCTATTTCATTTGAGTTGAATGCAAGAAACATTCAGGAAAAGCATATTTATACATTTAATTCTGCCCAGAGAGTTGTATTGTGAGAGTGGTTCCAGGATATGCTCCTTGACATTGTTGAAAGAGAATTAGTGCACTGCTGGTGTAGATGCT